GTATTTATGAGTCTCTAGGTTTAGTGCAGCTATAATCAAAATCCAGATAATTTTTTTGCCTGGGGCGAGGGGGTGAGAAAATTTTTAAAAATTTTACAGAACTCAGGCCAAAAGAATTGTTTTAAAAAGAAGATACTAAAACATACCAAATATTTAAAAATATTATAAAGCTACCAAAATCAATAGTGTGGTACTGGTATGAAACCCAGTAGATGGATCAATAGACCAGAATATGTAGTCTATAAACAAATCCGAGCACATACAGTAGCACCTGAGGAAAAGTAGCCTCTCAAATGAGGGGAGAAAGGAAATATTTTAGTCAACATTGCTGGCACAATTAGTTCATTATGTGGTTAAAAATTAGCCCATTAGTCTCTTCACATCTTCCATGTATCAAAATAAATTACAGATCATGTGGAAAATGGAACCAATAAATTCAGAAATTTTACACAAATATGTATCAGCTCTCAGAAATTTCTAGATAAACACCAAAGGAGGAAACCATAAAGAAAATTTAGAGATCTGATCTCTTATGAATGCTGAATATAATGAATTCTGTCAAATGTCTCTTAATTAAAAAAAAAAATTGGGGAAAATATTAACAAAGGACCAGTTTTCTTGATTTATAGCGTGTTCTTCTAGATGAGTAAGAAAAAGATAACCAATCGAATAGAAAACAAAAACAAAAACAGGCAAGAGATAGTAACAGGCAGTTTTCAGGACAAGAAATACAAATAGCAAACATTTGTAAAAATGTTTGACCTTAATTCAAGAGTCACAAATCAAAATAACAGTAAAATTACTGTTTCCACCAACCCAGTTTTTTACTCCAACTGGTAAAAAGTTAAATGTTGGACTCCCGCTGCATGGAAGGGTTTGGAGAAATAGGACTTCTCAGTACTGTCGATGGCGGTGCAAACTGTTTATCCTGTGGGAGGGCAATTTGGCTTTATTAAAAACAAACAAACAAACTTGTCATATATTCACCTGGTCCCAGCCATTCAACTGCCTGGAATTTATCTGCTGGATATATGTGCAGAAGTTCACGAAGATAGGTGTACAAGGATGTCCGTAAGATTTAGCAGAGGTAAATACGGACACAAGATTATGTGAACCTAGTTTTGAGTGTGTCTGTGTAAATTAGAGGGATTCATTATAGAATAATTATCAGGTTTAGTTTTCTCTAGGGCATTAAGATGAGTGATTACTTCTTTTTACATTCCTCTGCATTTGCTAACTTTCCTCTAAGTAGCAGGTGACACACCGTTATAATCAGAAAAAACCAACGCTGCTTTTTTCAGTAAAAATAGTATTGCCAGTACATTATTAAAAAATACCCATTTCTAGCAGTTGGAGGTCACCTGGCTCTACATTCCACTCTTTCACCCTCCCCCACCCCTCTCAGGGCTTCCCCTCAGAACAGTTCAGAAATGCATGCTTTCCAGGCCCTTCTTTCCTCCTCTCTCCCCCCTCTGGCCTGTCACTTGCGACATGCTGTTCTTCCCCGGGTGGGTCATCAGTCCCTTGTGAGGTGACCTCAGATGACCTCTTCGTACTTCCCAGAGGCCTGCACATTCCTAGCAGATCCAAGTGCCTCTGAGAGCCAAGGATGAGGCAGGGAGCGCTGGACAGCATTCCCTCCGATGTCGGCGGGGCCAAGAAGTTAGACCCCAGGGTGACGAACAGCAGAAACAGAAGCCAGCAGTTTCGGGAGCCATCCACCTCTGTGAATCCAGCATTCCCGTGATTCACCTTGCTCCAGAGCGTATTTTCACTTAACTTTCGTGTGGAAAATTCTGAACTTGTTCTAACACTATGAATAATTTAACTCTCCTGTTTCATTGTTTTAGGTTGCTGAAGCTCACGTGCCTAATTTCATTTTTGATGAATTCAGAACAGTCCTGTAAATTTTTTTTGACATCTGCTTCTTTGATGAAAGTATCGTCCTTAAATCTTCTTGTTACTAAAATGAATTTAGAAGTGAAGAAACTCAGCTGCTCATAGAACTGCATTTTTTTTCCCTTAATTGTGGGAAACATCAGATATTCTGAGTAAGATGTATCTCACGGCACTACTTGATATAATATTGTTTAAATCATGGTATTATATGCAATTTGTATCATGTAGAAGCAGAACACATTTTTGTACTGCCTCTTATAAATGCTGAATGTAATTGTTACGTATAAATCCATTTAGTTTTATGTTCTAAAGAACTATTTGTGCAACTCTGGATTTTCAGTAAAATAGTATTGTCAGTACCCAAAGTTCTCCTTCTGCCTGTGACTACAAAGTTGTATATTCATCCTGTAAAAAAAAAAAAACCTTTTCTGGAAAAAAAAACCTTTTCTGGAAGGTAAGCCACGTGTTGAGTCAGTCCCGTGGATACACCACGCAGGATGGTGGTGATAGCAAACACAGAGACCACACAATCTGTGGACCACGTACCATGGAAATTTCTTGGGTGTCTGAGGCTCACTGTCCTCGTCCAATCACAGAGACCCTGGGGGGTTCTCAGCATTCCTTCTGAAGGTCTCCCCAACTTCAGCTGCTCCTTCCATCCTTCCCTCCCTTCCTCAGCAATCTAAGCCCCACCCCAGCAGTCCGGCCTAGTCGAGGCTGAGCACAGGATCTTATAAAAGTGAATTGTTGCCCAGCACGTAAGGAGTTTGGAAGTGTCGCCCACCAGGAGGCTGGTGCGGTGCATGAGAACTTGCCAGTCGGCCCATGGCCATCCTACAGCCACATCTCAAAAATAGCTTGCTGTTTTCCATTCGTAGTCCGTAACTGCATGAAGTGAGATCTTTGGTTCTCTGTGAAAATGGCCCCCAAGGAAAGCCAGCTGCTGTTAAATAGGCCAGATCTAAGAAAGTGAGATTTTAACCAGAAAAGTGTGGGATAAACTAGAGGGGACTTTCACAGAACCAAGCCCACCATATGCTGCTAAAACGGGGCAAATAAGGTACGTGACTGGCGCCACGAGGGATTTGGCTAGTGACCAGGCCTCAACGGAGATAACTGACAGGTGAAAAAGAGAAATTTTTTTATAAAAGCTTTTTAAGTTCTTTCAGCCCTTATCATCATAATCTGAAGTAGTTATGTAACATTCCAGGGTATCTGTTACCGCTCTTTCGGGGGAAGCAACTTTAGTGATATTCGGGGATTTACTGAAATTTCATAATACCTCTCTGATGTCCACAATCTCTTCAAATATACTAAAACTCAGTGAATTCTGATTTCTAAGCATTACGCCAGATACTACGAGTGCTTATTTGTTCATTCACTGTTCCTTTAAGTAATCCTAGCTGGCTAAGTCATGTTATATAGTGGAACTTATGAAGCCCTGATTGCGTTCCTGAACGAAGGTGTTATTTCCAAAGAACCCAGAGGAGAACCTTAAAGTTGCCTCGTAGGATACATGAGGAAAATGAAGTCCAGAGATTTTAAGGCAACTTCCCCGACATCAGTTATTTCACAGAACAGGCTTCCCTCTGCGTTTTCCATCCCACTTTGGTTTTCCTTCCCATGAACACAAAGCTACCTCAAGGCCACGACAGAGATAAAAAGACGTTACAGTTCATTCTTCACTTTATTTGCATGTCCCACAATGACTCCTTCCAGCTACTGAATTCAAAAGAAAAACTGCAGTTCTTCAGTGTTAGCAGTAATTTAACAATCATTTCTTTTAAATATCTATTTTACCCTTCATTTTAAATTGCAAAGTATGTATTTACATGTTTATATACAAATAACTTCAAAAACGAATTAACCCCAATCTTGGTCCAAGAGTTTCCACTTTAGAAGTGGGATAGTTCTATGCTATGTACGTCTTCTTCCAAAAAAGTCTCTTAGGACTTGGTGAGTTCCAAATAGTCGTTTGCAAATGGCTCCCCTGTAAGTTTAATGGACCAGGTACTTAATTTCCGAGTAAATCAGAGGAAATAGTACAGAACATGCTTTGTACAATACAGCACCACTACTGAAAATGGCTCGGGGTTTTGTAATCCAAGGTTCCGATTTAAAGCAGAAATATGTGGCATAGATCGCCACAGCAAAGAAGTGTCCAATTAAAATGAAAGGGTTAGGAGACAGGCTGTAATAGAAAAAAAATATATGTATTAGTAAGACCCAGCAATTAAAATTTACTCATAGAAAGGTTCTAATTACGTATCATCTATAAAGCTAAACACACATTCTACATTCTAGACAACTCTGGAAGCTTGTGTTGCCTACGCTCTGATAGCAGGGACAAATAAATGTTCTTACAAGAAACTCCTTAGAATATACCCCTGTCTGTCAGAGAAGCCAGGAACTCTTCATAGTCTGCTTGACATAAACTGTATGTGTGGAGCTGTTTTCGTTCACTCATCTTGAGATCTCCGCCTGAAGTGACTGGATGGCCTGACCTGTGGGAGTCTTAGGTTTTCCAAAAGGTAGCAGTATTGACATTCAGATTATAAATGAATGAGAACAGACTTAAAGAATTTTACTGTGCAGACCTTTCAAGAATAATTCTATGTATGTCTGCACTATCAAAACCATTAGTGAGTTTCCCAAGTCCACGCACCTTAATCGAAGTAAATTTTAAATACAAATTCCTCTATTATCCATGGCTCCCACCGATCAGGTCATGTGGTCAAACCCACCAGCAAAAAACAAGCTATTTTAATCAGGGCTTTGGCCTCATCTACCACCAGCTTCTGTTCAAAACTGTTTTCCCAGAAGTAAAACACAGGGCTAAATTTCTTTTTTCATTTCTCTGAGCTACCTTCTGACTGGGATTCTAACGGACAAAATATAGAAAGAAGAAAGACTTGCAGTAATTCACAAACTGAGCAGTCCGAAGAAAATCTGAAAGATGTGGTTCCTCTGTGTCATCAAAACAACTTACACAGAAAGCAGCCCAACAGGACCAGCAACACATTCTCCACCAAGTTTGAAATAAAGAAAACAGGCTTTTCTTAGTTGATGTAGGGAATCTAAAATAAAATTTGGAAGTTAAAGTTGTTTAAAAAGTTGTTTAAAAGTTATTTCCTTGACTGTGTTGTAAATTCATTAAGTGATGCAAATATTCTGTAAATTCTTTTTTTATCAAAAAACACAATTCTAGAAACCAAATTCCCAGGCTCTAAGATACCCAACCTATATTTCTGAGCAGTAAACTCTCAAGTAAAAGGATAGCTGTGAATAGTAAACATTAACAATGCCTTAGATGTGTATAGTTTTTCATAATTTCAAAGTGACTCATTAAACCCTCACAACATAGTATTATCAACCAACAATTTTTTTTATTTGGAATAGACGTAATAGGTAAACTTACCCCAATAAAACTCTTTCTTCCTCTAATCTTTCATAATGTAAGAAAATCAAGAGCTTAGGAAAGCTTAAAAAGAAGCACTTAGAAAAACTCAAGACTTGGTTCTTTTCTTTTTACTTGCCCACCCAGCCATTTTAGCTTCCATGCCAATTAGCAAGAGAGGTTTGACTGGCAAATCACAATCAATGAGTTGTTTTTTTTTTTTCTTTTAGCAAGAATAATGCATATAGAAAGGCTACAGAAGGTATTTGTACTATATTATCTTTTGCACTCAAGTCACCAAAGCATAGATTGCTGGGACCCTGGCCAGTTCACAGAAGGAGCTTTGTTGTAAATATCTGAAGTAATAGGACTGGAGTTACATTTATTCCTGAACAAACCTAAACGTCCAGTTTCGTTAACCTACCATTAACCATCTGTACACTGCTAGGCTTGGGAGGTGGCACGGTTGCCTCTTCCTCCATTTCTAATACAGCTTCCGCTAAGTCAGTTTTTCCTTGATATACAGACTGACCATCGCCACTTTACAATATAGAAACAAAAACAAAAGCATGGGAATATTTCAAGTGAGTAAAAGGTAGATGCATTCTTCTACTTGTGCATTGTAATAGGAGACAAAATCTAAACTTGTTGTGAAGCTCGTATTCATTTTATAAAATACTATTTTGAACAGAAATTGAAACAAGTGTTCAGGAAGAAAAAGATTAACAACTATATTACATTTGAATTCACTGGCAGAAAGAACCTGCATCACAACTTTATGCATTTATGGATATATATAACCTGATCTGGACCAGAGGAATGAATAAAGATACATTACTGAAGTGGTGCTGGGAAGGTTGTCTTAAGCCTTCCACACAAAGTGGTGGATACATGATGATTAGAGGCGCAAAATCTTGCACAAGGATGGAGTTACAAAGGGCCGCCACTTGGGAGTCAGCAGACTCGAGAAACATGGCTATTTCTGGCCTAATGACTAACTTGTTTATAATTAAGTTCCTTCCCTTCCTGTGCTAAAAATTTGCAGTTCAGTAATTTTCATTAAAAAATATCTATACTTACCATCTGTGGCAGAAAATAATTCATAAAGAGCCTGAGCAAGGATATTCACAACAAAGGAGTGAGATGTTTTTCTCGCCCAATAGAATGATTTTTTGGCCTAAAAAAGAAAAAGATCACTTACTATATGGTAAAGGTGGGGGGGGAAGCACAAATTAATGTTCATAATCCCCTCAAACTGATGTTTATCCTGAGGATCATCTATAAGTAATTATGCCTTATATTTATCATTTACATATACACACACATCATCTCTGGAGGAATGAGTTCCAGAACTCTGAAGTGAAATATCCGATCACTATGAGCAAAGTGGTCTGTGCAAACCAATGTGACATAATATTCAAACATAGAAATTCAGAAATTCTGTGAGATTTGTGGGTTGCACAGACTCACAGGTTCTCTATGCCTGAACAAGACTGCCTAAGAACCAGGACTTAGGATCAGGTTCCTAGGTACAGATCTCCCCAGTATGGCCCCATTCCTCTTAGACCCAGGAAGAAATCTATTGAGACATTTTTGTCAAAGAATAATTTAATATCCTACCTGGAAAACAGCTGCATCATCATAAAGGTCAGGGATACCCTTTAGCAACTTTCTCCATAGTTTCAGATCTTTAAACACAACAGTCATTCCTCCTCCAGTAAGAGGATGCCTCATATTATATGCATCTCCCAAAATAAGAACACCTATAATGAGAGAATTTAGATTATGATATCACATCCTGGATGCATCCCTTAAGACCAAGAAAAAAAAACACTGTTCATAAACATTGTGAATGTGAACCAGAAAATGAGAATGTGAAAATACAAGGGAACAAATCATGACTAAAATCTGTTGATGCAAAAATTCAATTAGTATTTACTGGGTACCTAACAGGTACTGGATACTAGGGACACAGAACAAGGACATGGTCCCCACCCTCATGAAAGTCCACATGGGAATCTAAGGTGAAGTCACACAATGCCAAAATATTTATAAGGCCTCTTACATGAAAAAAAAAAAAAAAATTGGCATAAAAAGCAAGTCTCCTTACAAGGGAAAAAATGGAGAGATCTGACATTTCACAGCCATATTTGCTGCCAGCGCACCAGAGAGAAATGTCTATACAGTTCTAAGGGAAAGAAAGGAGGCCCCAGGAAGATGATAGCCAGCCACATTGTAGCTGGAATTAAAAAGCAATTATAAGCAGATATTCCAAACCTATCCGAAGTTAATTTAGAGGAATAAGCCTTGACTGAATCTTATCTGAAAATGAGCCCCTTGATGCAAAACTGCAGAAGCAGAAATGCAGCTCTCTAGGTGCACCTCCTGAGCTGCCTAAGATTCCCGGGCCACTGTCAGCCTGGTTAATGACCTAACACAGTGCCATTTCAACAAAGCAGTTATTTAATTTAAACCAAGAGAAATAAACAACCATTATAATGTTAAAGGGACAAAATTATGGATAATTCTTTTCTGCAATGTCACAACATGCTACATTTATAACTTATTATAAAATACATATAATAAACATTAACTTATAAAAAGGAAAACTTCTAAATATTAATTCAGATTTATGTATGACTCTAATATCTTCACGAAAAAAACCACAAGCAACAAACAGCTTTTATTCCTTCCTCTCCATGGAACATTTCTAATTCCACCAATTACTGCTGGCATGTTGTTTATATCAATTTGGCATTAGTGTCTTCATTCTGCTTTGCATTAGTTTATTTATAGGATTAGTAGTTTACTATGCCTGTTCTTCCACAGCAAATTCAATCTGTTTATGTTCAGGAACCATAGTGTATCAACAGCTCCCATTCGGACCTCTCTTTGGATGGAGCTCCACACTCACTTTTCAATGGTGTTCCACACGTCTCCACTCAAATGCCTCACCGGCACTTCATACCCAATATGTCCAAAAGTGAACTCATCACCTCTTCCCACACTTCCCTAAACTTACATTCCTTTTCTCATATCTCCAATATCAGCAAATAGCTGGCAAAGTTACCTAAACCTGAAACCTGGAATCCATCAAGAGGCCTCACTCTCCCTTACTACAATAGCCAACGAGTCACCAAGTTGCATGCATTCTACATCCTAGAGAGTACACAATTCTATTCCCTACTTTCCACTTCTATAGCCACAACCCTAGTTCGAACCTTTTATCACCACTGACATGGAACAATTACATAGCCTTACTATGAGCTTTAGCCTGACCTGTCCTCCAAACCATGCTCCACAACGTATCAGAGTAGTATCTCTAAAATAAAAAGCTAATCGTGCCACTATCTTATTTAAAACTTTTCAATGAACTATTAGAAACTAATACATGAGTTCAGCAAGGTTTCAAAACAGAAGATAAATATGCAAAAATCAACTGTATTTATATACACTAGCAAGGAAGAATCTTAAAATGAAATTAAGAAAACAAGTCTATTTACAATAGCATGAAAAGGAATAAAATACTTGGAAATAAGTTTAACAAAAGAAATGTAAAACACTCTGAAACTATAAAATATTGTTAAAAGAAAAAAACTCTTACTACATTTACAGTCAAATTAATTTTGACAAGAGTGCCAAGACACTTCAATGGGGAAAGAATGGTCTTTTCAACAAATGGTACTGGGACAACTGGATATCCACATACAAATGAAGTTGAACCCCTTCCTCACACCATACACAAAAATTTAACTCAAAATGGATCAAATACCTAAATCTAGTAGCTAAAACTACAAAACTCTTAGAAGGAAATACAGGAGTAAATCTTCATGACATCAAAAGCACAACTGACACACACACACAAAAAAAACCCATAAACTGGACTTCATGAAAATTAAAAACTTCAACTACCATCACCATGGAATGAGAGTTTTTGCAGATCATTTATCTGATAAGGGGTTTATATCTAGAATATATAAAGAACTCTTACAGCTCGACAATAAAAGTTTTTTTCATTTGACCAATTAAGAAATGGGCAATCTGAATGGACATTTCTCCAAAGAAGAAATACAAATAAATGTCCAATATGCATATGAAAAGATTTTCAGCATCATTACCCATCAGAGAAATACAAATCAAAACCACAATGAGGTATCACTTCACACCTACGAGAATGAGTATGGCCAAAAAGACAGATAATAACAAATGTTGGTGAGGATGTGGAGAAATTGGAACCCTCATACATTGTTAATGAGAATGCAAAATGGGGCAGCCTCTCTGGAAAACAGTTTGTCAGTTCCTCAAAGAGTTAAACAGAGTTACCATATCCAAGAAAAGTGAAAATTAACTCCACACAAAAACTCATATACAGATGTCCACAGCAGCATTGTTCATAACAACCAAAAGTGGAAACAAACCAAACATCTATCAACTGATGAATGGATACTTAAATTGTAGTATATCCACACATTGAATACACACTTGGCCACAAAAACAAATGAAGGACATGCTGCAACATGGATGAACCTCAAAGAAGCCAGCTACAAAGGATTCACTGATTGTATTTATAGGAAATGCCCAGAATAGGCAAATCTATAGAGTCAAAAAGCAGATCAGTGGATGTCTAGGGCTGGTAGTTGGGAGAAAATGAGCAGTGACTGCTGATTGGTATAGGGTTTCTTTTTGGGGTGATAAAAAGGTTCTCAAATTGACTGTCATGATGGTTGCACGTATCTATGAATATGCTAAAAAGTAATAAACTGTATAAACTTTAATGGGTGAACTATATGATTTGTGAATTACATCTCAATAAAGCTATTAAAAACAAACTTCTCAATGACTTTCCACCGTCTATAGCATAAATAAATACCTTACCTTTCTACTGCTCTGACACCTATCGTGCGCTTGCTCCAGCCATAGGAAACTACTGGACTTCACTGAAAGTGCCATCATTTCTCAGCCCTCCTGGCCTTTGCAGATATTGTTCCATCTACTTAGAAGTCCCTCTTTCACCGTCGACCTAATGAACTCCCACTAATCCTTCATGCCCCAACTCCAGTTTTATTTCCTGAGACACGTCTTCCCCAATCACCCTTCACAGTTCACAAGCTCCCCTCTGCCCTGCGCACCCCTTCACAGTGAACCTTGTGGTACCACGAGTGGGCTTTTACTACAGCATTTATCAACAGTGTCCTGAAATTACCAGTTCATACCCCTCACTAGAAAACTGCCTTCTCTAGATTTAGGACTGTACTTAACTGTGGTAGCCTCAATAACTAGGATAATGATGTATACACTCATTATGAAATAATCAAGACATCATAAAACTAATTTTGGTGTAATGTGTTCAAGCACAGTAACCAATTCTTTGTCCCACATAGGATTCCCTTATTACATAGCATAAATCCCATCCCATATTACGTTTGGAATATTTGGAATATTAAATTTGAATATTTAGAATACCCTTTATAGAATCACTCCAATAAAATAATACCTCGCTTGTTTACTGGTGAGGAGGGAAGAAAGCTTGCCGGCATAGATCTCAAACGGGAATTCTGAGTGGCTTCCAGGAACGGGTCTTTGAGGTGGTCTGCAATAAATCCCACCCCCACCAGATAAATGGTTTATAAAATTTCAATTTCTAATTAGCACATGTTCTTTTCAAGTCTAAACAAATACCTTCTATTATGTTACATATAATAATATATGCACTACATATGTTACATATATCTTGTGATAAGTCAAGAATTAATTATTTTATTAATACAATTGTTCATTAAGAACCTAGTTACTATCAAACACTAATGATGTAATGTATGGTAATTAACGTAACATAATTAAAAAAAAGGGAAGAAAAAGGCATAAGATAGTAATAGAAAAAAAAAAAAGAACCTAGTTACTCATGCTAAGGAATGACGAAGGGATCTAAGAGAAATTTAATGTAAATACATACACATACAGCTGAAGGAACAAAAAAGCTAAGAAAAGTGAAGCAAATTCAGAGATGAGACAGGGCCCCACCTTCCTCCCAAATGTTAACTGCCAGGTATCATATTTAACACTTAAATATACAAGCGTCACCGCCATATTCATATACTAGCAATACACAAACAGCAGGAGGGTATGTACGGCAGAAAAACGGTAAGTTGTGGAGAGCTCTACTTTTCTGAGCGTCAGTTTCTTCATCTACAACATGAAATGCTTGGAAGAGCTCATCTCTGAGACACTCCCAGTTTAAAGTTTTGTGCTCCTACTTGTATAGAAAATGAACTGTCTTTTCATACAGTTCCCATTGTAATCTGGGAATACAGGAGCAGAATGCCTAAGCTGAAACTGTTCCATTCCAACAAGGAGAATTTCAATAACCTAACAAATATTAATATAAACCTATAAATGGTTTCCCACCATGATCTCAGGGCAGTCTGTTCTAAACCTCTGGATTGAAGAGGCAATCTACGATAAAAGAAAAAAATGCTAAAAACTATCACATTATTTTTTTTTTAAAGATTTTATTTATTTATTTGAGACAGAGAGAATGAGATACAGAGAGCATGAGAGGGAGGAGAGTCAGAGGGAGAAGCAGACTCCCTGCTGAGCAGGGAGCCCGATGCGGGACTCGATCCCGGGACTCCAGGATCATGACCTGAGCCGAAGGCAGACGCCTAACCAACTGAGCCACCCAGGCGCCCTAAAACTATCACATTATTGACTATCTTTTTCTTAAATGTGAATAATTAATTTTTCCTCTGAAAGCTTCAAAAATGGCTTATAGTCTAAGTGCAAATGTATTGAAATGTTGAAAATGTCATTATTAAAAAATCTAAGTTGGGATGCCTCAGTGGCGCAGTCGGTTGAGCATCCTACCCTTGGTTTTGGCTCAGGTTGTGATCTTAGGGTGGTGAGATGGAGCCCTGTGTTGCCCAGCAGAGTCTGCTTAAGACTCTCTCTCCCTCTCCCTTTGCCCCTCCCCACCTTGTTCATACGATCTCTCTCAATCTGTCTCTAAATAAATAAAATCTTTAAAAAAAAAATCTAAGTTACTCCATGTATACATTCATATCTGTTAATATTCTGTTATTAAACAGAGTGCTTTCACTTAGATTAAAAAATAACTTGAAAAAGAAACAGAATTTTTAAACAAAATATACTCCTACCAAAGACAGTTTCCTATTACTATAATCATATAATTGGCAAGCAGGGTTTCCCTTCAATTTTATCAATATCCTTAATATTTTAATTATTATCTTAAATGTTTATTTACTTTTACTTACATCTTCCCATTCTCAAAAAAAATGCCAGAAAGTAATTTTTTAGGAGTGTTTTACAAATATGTCTGAAATCTCATGAAGCCTTTCTGTATTCAACTCCAAACTAAAAATGACCTTGAAGATTGCTTACAGCTCTCATGTTCTGAGGATGGGATGTATGAGCCAGACACGCCTAGCCTCAACCTTGACTCCACCACTTACTAACAGTTTATCCTTGGAGGAGCTTACTGACTCCTAGTTCCCTCACCAATAAAATGGGCATAATGGTAATGCCCTACCTCAGAGGGTGACTACGTAGATAAATGAAATCAAGTTTGTAAAGCACCTTATAGTAGATATTCAATAAATGGTAGCTACCATATCTACAAAAACCAAGCGCTAAAGCAAGGAAGTAGGAGAGATATCTCAAGAATTCAGGGATCTTACATCTCTATCCAGACTACCTAAAAACGTACCATTTTCCTCAATACTAATAATTATTCTAAAACAATGATTTAATTATTAATATGAAAAAATATATTGAAACTATTTTCTTTTAATTTGGAGATTTTCATATGTGCTGGTTAAACAGCTCAGCTCCAGTGTATCTGACTGGGTGCATTTTTACCTGCCATCCTTATCTCTGGCCTAGTTAAGACCCAGCTTTAGTGAGAACTGGAGATGGACAGCCTTTTGTGATATTTACTTTCAGACCACAGATTACAATGTGAACGAAATCCTATTTCTTTTTTTTTTAAAAGATTTTTATTTATTTAACACAGAGAGAGAGAGCACAAGTAGGCAGAGCAGCAGAGAGAGGGAGAGGGAGAAGCAGGCTCTCCGCCGAGCAGGGAACCTGATGCGGGGCTCGATCCCAGGACCCTGGGACCACGACCTGAGCCGAAGGCAGCCGCTTAACGACTGAGCCACCCAGGCGCCCCACGAAATCCTATTTCTTACCAGGTAATTGTGGGTAAATTTTTTCAGCCATGTGTTCTCTTAGGTTTCTGGGCATTTCTCCTCGAATGTCAACAAGTACTCGAGTTTCATCAGATGAAATCTGGTAGATAAGAACTGGACTTGGATTAGCCAAAATAAGTTCAGCATGATTTGCTTTAAACTGTGGTGCATTCTAGAATAAAACAAAACAAAACAAAATATTCTAATAATTTTCAAATTCCAAGTTGCTTTTATTTTTCTACAATTACATTCCTACAGTACCTTCATTAGAAAGCCAACAAAATGAGATGAAACAGAAACTTTATTAGAGATCAGGTTTTTCCTGAACTTGGAAAAAAGTCCATCTGCAACAATAGTCAATGGAGCGTGGAGTTCCTACAACAAAGATAAACAATGCTCAGCTAAATGGTTAGAAATACACAGTAAAACGACCATTCTCTTAAAATGTGCATTCTTGTAAAATATTTACACATTTTATTGGACAACGTTATATAGGGTAATGAGGATTGCCTGCCTTCAAAGCACTACCATCCAAACCATCTGGGATTAAAGCTACACTTTGATCAACAACAGGGGAACCAACTACAAAGCAAGTGTGGACCACAGAATATTGAATCTCATCACAAAGTCCAAGGACGACTCCACGTTTATTCTAAAATTTTCTAACTTCGTACAGTGCTTTCAATCAGTGGCTAAGGCTTAGAAGAATTTTTGTATGCATAGATGTAGGTCTCCATATTATCTTGCAATCACCATCATTAGAGTATAGTTTCTAGGTGGTGACCCCAGAGATCAGCCCAGAAACACCAACAGATAAGCCTTTCACTTTCTCTTCTCTTACTAAATCAACATGAGCAGGTACTGGCAATTATTTTACTCTGCTATTTCCACAGAGATTCTCTTACTTTTCCCTTTTGGATTAAAACAATTGTGTCATTTATCCTAATCATTTTTTTTGTTCCAATTTGTCTTTTTATTAAAACATGAGCTAAATTTAAGAAATTAGTCTTTGGGGCGCCTGGGTGGCTCAGTTGGTTAAGCGACTGCCTTCGGCTCAGGTCATGATCCTGGAGTCCCAGGATCGAGTCCTGCATCGGGCTCCCTGCTCGGCGGGGAATCTGCTTCTCCCTCTGACCCTCCTCCCTCTCATGCTCTCTGTATCTCATTCTCTCTGTCTCAAATAAATAAAATCTTTAAAAAAAAAAAAAAAGAAAAGAAAAGAAATTAGTCTTTGGACTTTATTTCCCAGAGTTGTTAGAAGATCTAAATGACAATATAACTCATTATGAAAATATACTGAAAAGCACAAGAGCTGATGTAAAATGGTAAATCAAGATTCCAGGTATGAAGGGATTAGAGTAAGTGAAGAATGAAACCACTCATTTCTTTTATGTTGACTCCTTCCTTTTTTCACCTTCCAGGTCCCCTCTGCTTCTCTGCACATGTGTATTTCTCGTTTCAGTTTAATACTGCTGATCTAGTGGTGCATGTCTACAAAGCTGTTGTATAGAGTTCTGAGATGCTCTAAAGAGTAATGTGTTGCAGGCTGAAATTCACCCTGCAGCAGAGGGCTTAGAGAGAACTCAGTCTATTAGATGAGTAAATTGGTGGGCTTACTTTTCAAAGGAGTAGAGGAAAAAGGAGGAGAAACATGTCTTAGGAAGAGCTAAGATTTGCTATCTCTCACCTTGATGTCCCCAGTTTCTTTATCCCTGTACTGAACTCCTATCACAGCATCATCTTCTTCTAGTAACTGTAGCACGATGCCTTCAATAAACTTTGTACTAAAGGATAAACAGAAATAAATTATATAGTAGCACACTTGGACAATTTAAATAATGAATGACGAATTCCTTATTCCTTATCTCCAGTTACAAATGGGACTCACACATGTGCACACACGTATACAGGAAAGGTCTGGAATGACAAAACGCAAAAACATTAATGGACTTTAGAAGTAAGTGTGGCTTTTATTTTCTAATTTCTTGAAATTGAATACATATACACTAATGTAATGATTTTTTAAAGTGTTTTTAAAAGCAACATGAGATTTTTACCTCAATTCATTAAAAAAAAAATACATGCAGAGAAACTTTACACACCACACAAATTCATACAGAGATGGGAAAATATTGAATTGGGAGTTTATCCACCAAATTATCCAGAGTAGTTACTTCTAGTCAGAAGAATCATGGATAAGTTTTACAATCTTTGTATTTTTGTGCATTTTCCCATGTTTCCACAATGAACATATTCTACTTCCACAGATAGCAACTCTCAGTCCTAAGGGTAAGTCCACTCACTTCTTCACTTGCTTTGGCAATACTTAAGCCCTTGTTAATGAGATGAGGGTTCTCATGTGTAAAACTTTCTCAATTATAGTGCCAAAGGGCTAGGGGCAAATAGAAGTTAATAATTAGGAGAAGAGCCAGTCCTGTCAGCCTAGGGTTTTCCCCTGAAGTCTCTGTTCTGACTTTTAACAGAAAATACCGTGAGCACAAACCCCAACTCCCAAATAGGCAGACAAGGCCTTAACCCTTGGTTACAACCGCATCCTCTAAATTCCAACAACATAAAAATAAAAACCACACAATGTATTGAGTCAAAGGAAAAATCTCAATAGTTCTGTCATTCAAACGGAAATTCTCTACATGATATTGTCAACAAAGGCACTGAAGATCTAACATTCTTCTAACTTACAGTTTACTTTAGAATACCTATGCTCCAGCCCATACCCAAACACTTATGACAAAATTGATGAAATAGTATTTGTGCAAAGGCCAAGTTTAAATGTGTTTAACATTCTAAACCTGCGTAGTCTTACTTCGGCTCTGCCATAGCTGCTTTCCGCAGACCCATGATGAATCTTCCGTGATGGAAAGCTCTTCCACTCCGCACTTGACTGTTTTCGGACAGAGGGTAAGGAATTTGAACCTCTGATTTGCTTTCCTGATCATGAATTATGTAGCCATCTACCACCTGGGCATCAATACCTTCCACTGCATCTACAAAACAATTCAGTTCAAAAAAATCAATTTTGTTAACATGCCCAGAGTTATATGAGGCACCAAATGATAAGGAGGCATCAAAAATGAGTCTCTGTCTTCATAATGCGATGAAACCATGTCGACAACTGGACATTAATGTAATTATTTCAGAAATCTTTTTTTTTTTTTTAAAGATTTTATTTATTTATTTGAGAGAGAGAATGAGAGACAGAGAGCACGAGAGGGAAGTGGGTCAGAGGGAGAAGCAGACCCCCCGCTGAGCAGGGAGCCCGATGTGGGACTCGATCCCGGGACTCCAGGATCATGACCTTAGCCGAAGGCAGTCGCTTAACCAACTGAGCCACCCAGGCGCCCACTATTTCAGAAATCTTAATGTGTCTGGAAGACAACCACTTAGCAAATCTGTAAAACCATAAAAGATTAATATTTATGTATAAAATTTATTCATTAAATTTCATAGGGAAAATATTAAGACCCTAGTAATAATGGGTGAAAAGTTTATGGGTATTCACATTAAGCAATACGGAAATATTGAACATAGCAGGGAAGGGAAATGTTCAAAACCTGATTTAAAAAAAAAATCAATGAAATAAATTAAAACAGTAAGATACCAAATCTATCAAAATTGCTGGTGAGATTATAATAAAACTGATAAGTTTACTGGTTCTAATATAAACTAAAAACATTTTAGAAAGTAACTGTAGCACTAATTACCAAGAACCAAGAAGTTAGCATCCTTTGATGTAATAATCTTTAAGTCTTATCAATTCATCTATCGTTCATCCTAAAGATATAATTTTTAATTTTTTTGTAAAGATTTTATTTATTTATTTGACAGAGAGAGACACAGCGAGAGAGGGAACACAAGCAAGGGGAGTGGGAGAGGGAGAAGCAGGCTTCCCGTGGAGCAGGGAGCCCGATGCGGGGCTCGATCCCAGGACTCTGAGATCATGAGCTGAGCCTAAGGCAGACGCTCAATGACTGAGCCACCCAGGTGCCCTAATTTTTAATTTTTAATATTTTTTAAGGTTATATGCAAGAGTAAGTTCACTATAGTGTTATCTCTAATAAAGAATAACTGAAAACAACCTAAATATTCATCTAAGTTAGAAAGAGTACATTATGAAATGTCAATTGAGAATATACCATACATAGGCCTAAAATCGTAATGGTTAATATATTAAGGTGAAGTACATTAGAATAATGAAATGGATGAAAGAAAATCTTCATAAACAATTCTATCACACATCTAGGCTAAGATCGAAATAAATTAGTTTTCTGATATTCTTTTTAATGCCACTTAGAGTGCAGGCAGGATCAAGCTGGATGAATATTGTCACACATCTGACCCAGAATCAAAACTAATTAGTTTTTCAGTATGGTTCTCAAATTATTACAGTTAAAATTCAGTCAGAGATTCAGTACACAGATATCCGAAAAGCTGCCAATTTGCAGTGTATTCAATTTCAGCAAACTGCCAATCATTTCTGACCTAAATATTTGAAACCCATCTGGTATTTCTATAATGCTTTGTCCAGCTACTGAGACAGTTTGTTTTTCTTAACCCATAACTATATAACAGAAGTACTTGAAATGTTTAAACTGGCCAATTTTAGAACACACCAGAAAATGTAAAAAGTATAGTAGCACAGCAAAATTTTTCCTTGGGTAAACTATCTTAAGGTAAATAAGGTCTAATTTAAGATTTCTTAACATCTATCTGTCTCTATCTCACCTTTATTGATGAAATCATATATGGCAGACTTTGAACACTTTTACTTTCTTTTTTCTTTATTTTTATTTTTTTTTTTTAAAGGTTTTATTTATTTGACAGAGAGAGACACAGCGAGAGAGGGAACACAAGCAGGGGAAGGGGGAGAGGGAGAAGCAGGCTCCCCGCAGAGCAGGGAGCCCGATGCGGGACTCGATCCCGGGACTCCAGGATCATGACCTGAGCCGAAGGCAGTCGCTTAACCGACTGAGCCACCCAGGTGCCCCCCCACTTTTACTTTCTTAAGCAGGCAAGAAGACAGTACCCTACACTTCAGTGAAATTCATGCTTCATGAATACTAGATGTTAATAACTCTAAAGCCAGATAACTTAGAGCTATCACTATCTATTAATCATAAAGCTCCACACTTAAGGTATTAAGACTCCTGGTCAACATACCAGAAAAAATGACATGGAAAACATTCCTCTGCAGAACTGCTTGCTATCAAAAGGCAAGTTAAAAAACAAAACTAAAGGAAAAAACAAAAAACAAAAAACCACCTATACTAAAAATGGAAAGCAACGTCAAAGTCAAACCAGTGAGCAAGTTTGAAAGGCAACAGTATAAAGGAATCAGAACCACAAGCCTAAACAATTGGAGTTTTAAGGGCCACTCCTGAATAGGAGGTAGGGGCCCCCATGGCCAGGGACAAGGAAACTTAGCACCATTCATAAATTTCTTGTCAATAAAATAGAAACCACAAAAACTCAATTCAATACCCTGAGATAAGGTATGGAAGTAAGCCATTCACCACAGTCTATGGGTGAAGTCATCCATAAAAAATCCAAACATACCTTGTGCCATGACCTGGTATAAAGTCTGAACCTCAAACTAAGTATACAGTGCATAATAAAATAGATATCATTTATGAAAGCCCAAATATAAACCAGAGTCAAGGAATAAATATAGCAAAAGACATATGAGATTTATGAAACATTATTTAAATGCATTAAAGACCTAACTGAATGGAAAGCATACCACATTCATGGATAGGAAGTCCAAGTCAATTATTCCAAAATTGAGCTATAGATTCAGTGCTATTTCAGTCATAATCTTAACTGGTTTTTTTTTTTTACATCTAATTCTAAATTATATATAGAAAACAAAAACACCAAGAAAAGCCAAAATAATCCCAAAGAAAACAACATGGGAAGGAGGTTCCCCACTAGATACTGACTTAATATAAAAATATAACATTTAAATTATAGTGTATTAATTTTAAGAATTCTAGATATTTAGCTTAAGCCATAGGGCAATAATTATTAAAAACCCATACTCAGCGGGCACCTGGGTAGCTCAGTCGGTTAAGCATCCAACTCTTGATTTCGGCTCACGTATGATCTCAGGGTCCTGAGATCGAACCCCGCATCAGATTCCATGCTCAGCGTGGAGCCTGCTTGGAATTCTCTTCCCGTTCCCTCTGCCCCTCCCCCTACTTGTACTCTAAATAAATAAATAAATAAATAAATAAATAAATAAATAAATAAATAAAATCTTTTTGAAAATTTAAAAATAAATAAAAACTCATATTCAGGAAGAATGAGTCCATATTATATTAAAAAATCATACTCCAGGGGTGCCTGGGTGGCTCAGTCATTAAGCATCTGCCTTCGGCTCAGGTCATGATCTCAGGGTCCTGGGATCAAGCCCCACATTGGGCTCCCTGCTCGGCGGGAAGCCTGCTTCTCCCTCTCCCACTCCCCCTGCTTGTGTTCTCTCTCTCTCGCTGTGTCTCTGTCTGTCAAATAAATAAATAAAATCTTAAAAAAAAAAATCATACTCCAAAAAGTAACTATTCCAAGTGTTTCTATTATCCACATCTCATCATACCTCAGGGGAAATTAATAGCATAATAAATATTAAGAAGGACTCTTATTTTTTATATTAAAGGTATTCATGGTATGTGGACTGGCTAAAATACTTTAGAGGCTCTCCTTACTCTTGCATAAACTACATATAAAAATCCACTAAGGCTTGTTTCCACAACCTTGGTGACGTTCCCTGAAGTTAGATCTCTAAATATTCTATGTACAGTCATTAGTTGGAGAGCATTTGTGGTTGCCTGATGTTCAACAATAAAAGTAACAAAGTACTGTGTCAAGATATTGCCACATCTGCCTCAAGTGAACCTCTCATGTAAGGTGGTGATTAAGAAACCTAAAAGGTCACAGATGGAACTTCCTTTCTTCATAAACACTCTTCTCCACTTGGATCCTAGACCCTGCGGGCTTTTGGTTTTCCTCCACACTTCCTCAATCCCATCTTTTTGACTCCCACTCACCTCACTGATCTCTATACATCAGAGTACCCCAGGGTTCAGTCCTGGACCTCTCCTGGTAATGCCTTCTAGTCTTGTTTAAATACCATGACTCCTCTTTTTCTTTCATACCTAACAACTGATTCATCAGCAAATCCTACTGACTTCCTTCAAAAGGCGTTTCCAGAATGTGACCACTTCCCACCTCTCTACTACTATGACCCTGTTCCAAGCCATCAACTCTCACTGATTCTGCAATAGCCTCCGATCAGGTTCCCCTGCTTCTGTCTTGGCCACTTTATGATCTACTCTTTTTTCCTACAGAATAACATGAATACTTCTAAATAATATTTTTTTTTAAAGATTTTTATTTATTTATTTATTTGAGACAGAGAGAATGAGAGAGAGAGAGCACATGAGAGGGGGGAGGGTCAGAGGCAGAAGCAGGCTCCCTGCCAAGCAAGGAGCCCGATGCGGGACTCAATCCAGGGACTCCAGGATCATGACCTGAGCCGAAGGCAGTCGCTTAACCAACTGAGCCACCCAGGCGCCCCTAAATAATTTTTTTTTTTTTTTTTTTTTTTTTTTTTTTTGAGAGAGAGAGAAAGAGATAGAGAGCATGAGAGGAGGGAGGTTCAGAGAGAGAAGCAGACTCCCTGCCGAGCAGGGAGCCCGATGCGGGACTCGATCCTGAGACTCCAGGATCATGACCTGAGCCGAAGGCAGTCGCTTAACCAACTGAGCCACCCAGGCACCCTCTAAATAATATTTTTAATCACACTTCTAAGAAGTGAGATTGAATAACTCCTCTTCTTAAAATTCTCCAATGGCTTCCCTTTGAACATAAGCCAAATCCATGTAGCAGGCTACAAAATGCTATGGATTCAGCCCCCATAATCTGACCATTATTTACCTCTTCTCCCCTTCACTCACACTACTCCAGTCAACACTATTCTCCCTCCTTACTTTTCAAAGAATTTGTGTCTGCCCGACCCTGAGATCATGACCTGAGCCAAAATCAAGAGTCAAACCAATCAATTAACCAACTGAGCCACCCAGGCGCCCCCAAAATACACCTTCTTTATCCTTACATCTACATCTCATTACTGCCCTATTTCTGTTTTCTGTTACAGAAAAACTCAAGGGTCCTTTTCCAGTCTCAAAATTTTTTAACTCCACTCACTTCAGTCTAGGTTCTATCCCCACAACTCTGCTGAAACATCTTGTCAATGTCACAAGCAACCTCCAAATTGCCACATCCCATGGTCATTCTTCTATACTCATCTTACCTGAGCCTTCATTAACAAAGCATGACATAGCTTTCCTTCCCTTTCTTGACACATACCCATTCCTTCCAACTAGAAACATTCTCTGATGGATTAAGTGGCACCCAACCCTCTGGCTTTCTTCTGCCATTTTGCCAGCTCCCTCTTGAACTCTTTTTCATGCTTCTCTTCTTCTGCCTGATCTTTAAATATCAGTTTCCCATGACTTGGTTTATTCTGTCTTCTCTTTTCTCCCTACATGCTCTCAATCACTGTTGTGGCTTTTAAATACTATAAATATGCTGACACCTCTGAAATTTCTAACTCCAGCCAGCCCAAACCATTCCTCTGCACTCGAGATTCATATATTCAACTTAACTTCTCCACTTGGGTATCTCAACATGTCCCGCAAATTACCCCCAATGGCTGTTCCTCTCTAGGTCTCCTTATCAGCAAATGATACCAACATCTTAACATAATAAATGTTAAGAAGGACTCTTAATTTTTTATATTAAAGGTATTCATGGTATGTGGACTGGCTAAAATACTTTTTTTTTTTTAATTTTATTTATTTATGTGACAGAGACACAGCAAGAGAGAGCACACAAGCAGGGGGAGAGGGAGAGAGAGAAGGAGGCTTCCCGTGGAGCAGGGAGCCCGACGCGGGGCTCCATCCCAGGACCCTGGGATCATGACCTGAGCCGAAGGCAGACGCTTAACGACTGAGCCACCTAAGCGCCCCCTAAAATACTTTAGAGGCTCTCCTTACTCTTGCATAAACTAAACTGTCCAAACCAAAACCTAGGACTCATTTTTAATACCTCCTTCTCCCTCATATCTCACACTAATCCTATAGTAAATCGTGGCATTTCTGTCTCTTAATTTTAACATCAATCTGTCCACTTCTCTTTATATCCTCTGCTACCATGCTAGCCCAAACCACCATCATCCATCATTTGCACTTAGCAATGAGTTCCCACTAGACTCTTTGCACTGACTCTTGCTACCCCACTGCCACAATCTTAACAGTTTATTCACCACATTTTATCCACATATTCTTTTAAAACAGCATTCTACTAATGGCAGGGTGTGACTCAATGGTAAATTATGAAATGAAATTCAACTTGTGAATCATGTACTTGGATAGAATCATGAGAAGTATTTAAAAAGTAAAATGAAACAAATTTCAGTCAAATATATGTATGTATGTGCTGGATCAGGATGTCAATTGTGTTTGTTATTGTGAGCAGATGTCAAAGGTTTGCAGCCACTTTACACAGGCATAAAGCAGATCACACCACACTCCTGCGCCACCGACTGCAGAGCCCTTCATGATGTAGCTGCCGCCTCTCTCTCCAGCCTTAATCGCAAGCCATTCTCCCTTCCGCATCACCCAGTCTTCCTAGCTACACTGCTCTCCTTTTCGGCTCCTTGAATAAAACAGCAAACACTTACATAGCACCGACCATATACCAGACACTGTTCTGCATGCTTTGTGTATATGAATTCGTTTCATCCTCATAATAACCTCTGAGGCAAGGACTCACATAAAATGCCCATTTTACAGATGAAAGAACTGGTACATAATAGGTTGAATAACTTAGCCAAGCTCATACAGCTTTTTAAGTGCCTGAGCTGTTAATTCAACCCCAGGCAATCTAGTTCCAGGATCAACGCTCGTAATTCCTACACCATCCTGCCTACCACATGAGCCAAGCAAGCTCTTCCTCAATCCAGAACCCAGGCAGATTTTGTACTCTGAGAGGAGCCAGTGAATCTGTCTTGTTCACCAGTACATCCTTGGTACCAAGTCCAACACCTCACCCAGAGTAGACAGTGAATAAGTATCGCCAAAATGAGTAGTCTGTGTTTAAAAATCATTCGTTTAACAGATGATACTTAAATAAAAGATTCTATAAGAGGCACATAATAAGTACTTCCCCAGTGAAAGTTCCCTTCACCTTTCACTAAATTTCATGCCTTCATTCTAGTTTTCCAATCTTTAATTTTGACCGTTTCTGGTTTTTAGCCACTTTACTATATCTCCTCATACACTAAATGCTCATTTTCTTCTTTGCTCTCATTTTCATGCAGATTTGTTGGTAAATAGTAACTAATATCTTTTTACCAGTTATAGGATAGTCTAAAGCGAAGAGTGCTTGCTTCTACCACATAACTCCTAAAAATTAATATGAACCTACCTTCAAGACCAAGGTCTTTAAGGACATGATAACCACCCGGTTGCAGAAATTCTCCAACTATCCTGTCGGGCTCTTTTAAATCTCTCTCAATTACTGTCACCTTTCTTCCATCTCTGGAAAGCATGGCCGCCAAAGCAGAGCCAACTACCCCAGATCCCACAATGATAACTTCTGGATCATTTTGAAAAGATACTGAAGAGGCAGCTGCTCCTATTAAGGTGGTTTCTGAAACACTGGTTCCTTTTTTGTGCTGTTTAAAAAAAAAAAAAAAAAGAGTTAATTATATGTCCACATTTGCTATCCTACTACTATATTCTCTGGACTTTCCCATCTTGGGCAAAACCTACATCACAAACATTATCAAACCAAATGCACTGCTATGTTTTTAAATCCAGATCACATATAAAAACCAAGGATATCAAAATATTCAGTTAAATAAAAATGTATAATAATATCCTAATAAAATTAAACGTATATTCCATTTTCCACATATATTTAGAAAATGCTATTATACAGACATATTTAGGAATACACACGAGGCTAAATATAAATAATGTTTACAAGGGGCTCCAAAGACTTATTATAGGGAAAATTCTATCATTAATTACTCAATTCCTCAAATACATTCTAAGCATCTACCAGATGCAGATCCCATACAGCTTCTATTTCGACTTCATGTTGCAAACTATTCAGCACCTTTTACATGTTTCCACTATTTATTTTTATTTTCTCCTTCTGGATTTTCATCTGAAAAATCTATCTTACCCTAAAAAATCCCTTTTATGTAACAAAAAGACTGTCAGATCCTGGCTATTAATCTACTAATTGAGAATTATTTAACTCAAGAAAATTCTGAAAGGATAAAATAACTCATCCTGTCCCTTGGGATTCAACCCGTTCACATTTAAGTCCTTAACATATAAGAACATATTTAATTTGCCCCATCTTGACACTCTAAGAGAGCCTAGCCAAACAGTTGGTCCATTTAGGAATAAACATCAAACACATCACTAGTTAGGCTGACGATAAAAACTTTATTCATAAGATGATGAAAAAGACCTGTTTTGAGAGATTTATGCCCACTGAGAATAAAAGTGCCTGTTGGGTTTTTTAATATGAATAATTCAGGGTTAAAATAAGTATTTTTTTTTTCTTGGTATGTGGATTGACAAATATAAATACATTTCAGATACAGAATTGTAAGGAACAATCTTCTTTGAGTTCTCCGGCCATAATGATCAAGACAAGCCCAAATGCCATTTTGAAGGGATTTTAATAAAAGACCTCAAGCAAAAAGGAAGGAAATAAAACCTAAAATCTTTTAGAACTTTGATTCTCTGTTATTTTAATATGCACCCAGTCTTCCTTCAACTCTACAGGGCCTGGGGCCTTGTCCATTCCATTTTTTATTATTTCTCTTAGAGAAATTACTTTTTTGTCCTTTACCAAGAGAAGAGTCTCTTCTTCCCATAAGTATCTCTTAATGTCCAGAATAACTGACTATATTTAAATTACTCTTCCGAAAGCAAGATAAAAGACCTCTTTGCCATCTTAGCCACTTTTTATTAGTTTTTCGTCCTAAATTTTCCCTGTTAAACACACACACACACACACACACACATACTTATACACCCAATCCTGAAAAGGGGGACTTGAGTTAGTTAAGTCATCCAGAGAATGGTCAGTAAAAGCACTGATAGGAACTTAATACTCAAGGAAGAGTCTACCAACTCCCTGATGTTTAGGAATAAGCAGAAAGCCTGAAGCATTCACAAAATGGAACCAATCACTGATGGCTGGCAACCCAATTTTCTCTTCCCAAAAATGTCTCAACATCACATGATATAACTGCATTCCAGGCACCTACACTAGTGCTCAATGTCCTTGGCAAAAGTTACGTCAGATAACACCAAAGATTTCAAACTGAGATGAAGACTCCCTCGCCCTCCTTTGCTACTGCTCCAAGCCAGACCCACCATTACCGCTGCTCCGCGCACTAATCCAAAGGTTCCTAACATGTGTACTAGATGTTATCAGATGCTCACTACCTCTAAACTAATAATAGCTACTATTTACTAGTCGGTTACCGACCACATCCAATCCTTTAATTCCTTAACTAACAGCAAGACTGGTGCCATCCCCATCTAATAGAAGAGGTAACTGATTCCCACAGAAACGAAGGTCTTGCCAAAGGTCTCACAGCCAGAAGTGGTGGAACAAAAATTCTAACTCAAGTCCTCCCTTCTATAAACCTTGCTAATCTGTACTGTGGCTACAGTAAAATAATGTAGATCTAGAACCCTCAAGGAGTAAACTTCTTGGCTTCCTACTGTAGCCTCTCACCTGAGAGCCCTGCTCCCATTCTCGTGCCCCTGCAATCCACTCTCCTCCCACCAACCGGACATGCTTTCTAAAAAGTTAAAATCAAGTATTGTTACCCCCTTGCTGACAAGGCTCCACGGCTCCTGGGAAGAAGTCCAAACACCCATGGCCAAGAGACCCTAAATGTTCTGGCTTTGAAGCCAGACCTCTTCTCCCTCATCTACCATTGTCCTCCTCTTGCTGTCTTTGCAGACATAACTTCACAGGTGACTCTAGACTAGCCTCAGAATTAGGAACATGACTAAACTGTGGGCCTTACTCAATTATCCACGTGATTCAGGACATCACTGCACTGATTTACTCAAGGCCCCACGGACATGAGGAGAGGAGGGGATTTTGCCCAAGACTTTAAAATGCTGAACTAATTTTTACTCCACCAGCCTTTTGAATTGTTCTTTCTGTTACTTTCCCCAGCCAGCTGTCATTTATAAGCACTGGACTTAACCTGCCGCCGGTCTCTTTCTCCTCAGGTACAAATGCAATCCTTACCCAAGGATTTCAGTAAAACATTTTTTTCCCAATCGCAGAAAGTGATTCTGTCCTCCTTCAAAATTAAATTCTAACATTTCATTTCCCCTTTCATAATCAAATCGACTTCATACAGCATTGGCTCAACCAACACTAAAGGAAACAAATTCTTTCAATCACTCCTCACAGTGGCGAGGAGGTAGCCAAGGAACAGTCAAGAGCTTAAACAAACAAACAACACAACACAACAATTAAATGAGAGTTTATCATACCAGAGTATCTAAATCGCTGCCTTTTGGCCTGTAGAGAAGACGAAAACTTACATTTGAGTGATCCCAATTCTAATTTTAAAAGAACATGCTCACTCGCTTGGTCACTTAAAATTCCACCTACCCTCCTAGCCCCAAGCTGCTCTTTATTTTCTGATCCCGAGGGCGACTTGGCCCAGAGGAAGCCAATGAAAGGCAAGGCCGACAGAATATCCGAGAAGAGCGCGAACTGGGAGCCGCTCTGCTGGCGCCCCAGGAGGGCCCCGCTCCGGTAGCGACAGCGGTAGGAGAGCACCAGGCCCAGGGACAGGAACACCAGCACGCACAGCAACAGCTCCTTGTTGGCAAAAAAGACGAAGTCTCCGCATTTCTTGTAAAAGTACGTGAAAGTGGCAATGCCCAAGAAAGTCCACATGGTACCAAGGCTCCTCCGGTGTCCCCGGGTCAAAGCTGAGGTCCTCTTCTTCTCTGTAGGCTTTTGGTGACTCGAGGTTCTCCCCAAAATGTGTCACCAGAAGGAGCACGAGGAACCGGCCAAACTCCAGCAAACACCGCCACAGGGTTACAATTCAAATCAGAGGGGTCTACAAAATCCTATCAAGCTGGCATAGAAGTACGGGAAGAGGGGAAAGGTGTCCGGACTTAGAGAGCAGTATGAAAAAATCGCCGGCTGCAACAGCTCCCGACCAGACGCTCCTCTCTCCAGCACTCCACCTATTTCGTCTGGACGGGCTTCTCCTGGGCTGCTGCTGGTGGCGTCCCTAAGAGTGATGTGGGCTCGCCGTGCAGTAAAACTGTCCTCGCTCACCTGCAGCAGGTGTCCTTTCAGATGCGGAGGCGGCTGTGAAAGAAACGTCTGGGCGCGGCCTGGCCCGGACGGGAGCGCGGAGAGATGCCGCCCCGCGCCGGGACGGCCTCGGACTCGAGGCTGCGGCCCCCGCGCACACAAGCGCGGCCGCTCCGCAAAAGCTCCGAGCCACCAGCCCCCGAACCTTCCAGGCCGTGCCTCCGTTTCCCAGCCGCTGAACGGCGCTCTCCAGGGCGCTCCCTCAGAGGGCGGCGACCCCTGACGGCCTCGTCGCGGGAAGCCGCTGCCCGCCCCGACCCGGCGCTTCGGCAGTAACCAGAGTAACCACCACGCTCGCCGCTCGCCCAGCGCGCTCCGACGGCCGAGGGGCTCCACCCCGGCGAGGACCACGAGGCGGGGCGCAAGGGCGCGATCCCGCTCCGCCCCGCGCGCCCAGGGCGCCCGCCCCGCCCACCGCCGCCGCCGGCCAATCAGGGCGCGCACCGCGCGGTAGGCCGAGATGGCGCTATGCCGCGTTTGGCCAATCGCGGGCGCCGCGGCCAGCGCGGCGTCGCCGGGTGAGGCGCTAGGGCGATGTTGCGTGGTGTGGGGTGGGGCCGTAGGGTGGGGACCTTCCGCCGGGTGTGCGGGCGGGAAGGCGCTAGCGGCCTGCGAGGGGTGGAGGGCGCGGGGGGCGCGGAGGGGGTCGTGCCCTGGGCCCCGCGGTCAGATTACCCGCCGCAGCCCTGGCCGCGGGGGTCCTACCCGGGAAGAGGTGGAGCGCGTTCCGAGGAAACCGCTGCCGGGAGTCACGCCGCCTAATGTCGGAACGGGGCCAATCATCCCGTGAACATTTCCCGGGCGCTTACTACGGGTCCTAGAGATGAATCAGACACAGCCTTTCGGCCCCGAGCCTAGTGTGTGTGGAGAGCAGTGGAGGCGGGTGCGTGGGGAACGTGACAGGTGCAGGCCGGACGTCGGGAAGAACGAATTAGGCCGACTTGTACCCGAAGAAGGAAGGAGAGGGTAGGCGGGGGTGTCCCCTTACTTCATCCAGAATTGTCGGGCGCCACGCACTTGTCGCTGTGCTCAGCCTAAAGATACACCCATGTTCGTAACCCTGTTCGCTCGGGATCAAGCAGAAGGGGGCGGCCCGTGGGCGAAGAAGTAAAGTAGAGGTGTGTCGAAAGTTCCCTGAGTGGGCGAACAGGAAACCGTGAACCCGGAGGCAGCCCTTCCCTCCCTCGCCGCCTCGGCCTGGAGGGAGTCAGGCAAGACCTCCGGGGAGGTTACCTGAACTGTGTCCAGGACAGGCATTCCAGGGGAAACAAAAACGTGTGCAAGAGTTGCAAGGTGTTAGGAAATGGTGAGACCTCCCTCGAATTCACTGAGGACCGAGACCAGCGTCTTAGCTCACCCTGTTGCTTAACCCTGGACTGCCTACACTAAACCCTGCAGTGTAAGCAACAATCCTTTCGCCACCTGGAGCACAGCTGCGTTGTCACCTGTTCCATAAATTGGTTCGTGCTTTATTGACCCAATCTCTGGCTCTACACGTACGGCTGAGTCTTATCCCACTAGTCCCTGTTCCTTGAGGGAAGGAGCTCTGTATGATAAATCAGAGTCACCTGCAGCACCCAGCACACTCTCCCTAAAAATGTATTTAGTGAAGGAATGGATGATGAATAATAATGGAAGACCAACCGACTAGAAAGTGGATACCTAGGCTCTGGCTGTCACTAACCAGCTTTGTGACCGTGGACAAGTCAAAAGTCGGTCCACCTCTAGGGAGAGAGAGCAGTATCTTCACGAAATCGAATCCTTACAATCCTGTAACACTTTGCTGAGTCTAAGAAAATATGGCATCAGGGGTGGCTTTAATAATATATTAAGCAGGGCGCCTGGGTGGCTCAGTCGTTAAGCGTCTGCCTTCGGCTCAGGTCATGATCCCAGGGTCCTGGGATCGAGCCCCACATCGGGCTCCCTGCTCGGCAGGAAGCCTGCTTCTCCCTCTCCCACTCCCCCTGCTTGTGTTCCTGCTCTCGCTATCTCTCTCTCTGTCAAATAAATAAATAAAATCTTAAAAAAAAAAAAAAATAATAATAATAATATATTAAGCATCTGCCTAGTGGCTTATGCTTAGTGGGTCAGTGGGCTAAGCATCTGCCTTGGGCTCAGGTCATGATCTCAGGGTCCTGGGATGGAGCCCCATGTTGGGCTCCCAGCTCAGCTCCCTCTCCCTTTTCCCCTCCCCCTGATCGTGCTCTCTCTCAAAAAACTAAGTAAAATCTTAAAAAAAAAAAAAAAGGATGGCATCTGTCATTTTTCACCCCAAATATATGTCTTATCTGCTAATAAAAATAATTGTGTCAAAATACTTTCACAGGCATCGTTTAACCCTCAAATAACAAAAATGAAACTTAAAAAGGTGAAGTGGCTTGGCCAGATCAGAGCTGATACCTGATGAAACTGAGTTAAGCTCCTGGTCTCCAAATCTTGTCCTCAATACTCTCTTAATTATCAATTACTGCTTTAACATTCCTCCATTATAAAATCAAAACTTTCTTTCCCTGACAACAATCCTCACTGGTAGCAACAAATTTGGCTGTTTGAAATATACATCAAGTTTAAAAGGATTCAAATTCAATTTAATGTGTGGGAAATAGTTTTCCTAAATATAAATTCCTCAATAAACTGCTTGTTGGTTCCTATATTGCTAAAATGATGGAAGGCTTGAGCAGCTGACTCTTACAGATGAGAATACAATATCACCAGGATGTTACTTGATTACCCTGTACCTGAAATTAGCATCAGAGGATTTTTTTCTTAAGTAGGTAACCATCACTAAAATATGTTTGAATCTTGGCATGGCTCTACTCTTCAAAAACAAAAATCTTGTCACTCAGGCCTGAAGCAAAGGCAATGAAATACGACACAAAATCAGCCACTTACTGGCAGAAGGTAACAAACTATAGAGTAAGTCCATGAAAAATACTTTGTAATCAGGCCCAGGCAGTGTTGAGACCTCAGAGACCAGGGTAACTCCAAAGAAACAGGAAGCATGGTGGACCTGTCTGGGGGGAGCAGGAAGCATGCTGCAGACATAGCTGCCACCAGAGAAGCTGTAGGAGGCCAAGAGGAAGTGGGAGAAGTACTGTGTCTTCCCGGGGGGGCCCAATCTCTGACTAGTGTTCTCTCAACTGTTGGCTGGACACCAGTTGAAAAGAAAGTTTGGGAAACACAGCCTGCAGGGATTGGCCCACCTGTGATTCAGAGCAAAGCATGAGGTATTTCAGGAGTAGATTTGAGCACAGGTCGGCCTAGGATTGGCTCACTTTCTAAAATTTATGCCTCTTGATTCTTTTTTTCATTTTGTTGTGTTGATGAGGAACTGAAGCACAATACCGAAGAGTGCTGGGGATATCAGGTTTCCATGCTTATTCCTGATTTTAGTAGGATTATTTCTAATGTTTCAATCTTGACTAGGATGCTTATAGTTGCTTATAATTTCTCAATTAAATTTTTTAAAATAAAATCTTTTTAAGCATATATGGATATATAGAAATTTAATGTATTTAAAATATATTTAATATAACAATTTAATGTGTTAATATATATTTGATATATGTATTAATATTTTGTTAATATAATATATAAATTTATTCTATTCATGTAGTGAATTTAGTGTAATGAAATCTTACACTAACAGATTTGATAATAGTGAATCAGCCTTCCATTGTTTGACAAAACTCTACTTCATCACAGTGTATTATTTTTAGTAAAGTGCCATGTCAGATTTGTTTCTTTAAAAAGATTATTTATTTGAGAGCAAGAGTAGAGTGAGCAAGAGAGAATACAAGTGGGGGAGGGGCAGAGGGAGAGGGAGAAGCAGGCCCCCCACTGAGCAGGGAGCCCAATGGGTTGCAGGGGCTTGATCCCAGGACCCCAGGATCATGACCTGAGCTGAAGGCAGACGCTTAACCGACTGAGCCACCCAGGCATCCCTTAGATTTGTTTTGAAAAAATACTTTGTAATCATGACAAGAGCGAATACTTACAGTATAGTCAGCATTCTAAATGTTTTTCATACATTAGCTCATCTTGTCCTCACAATCACACTATGAGGAAGGTAGTGTTTTTAACCCCATTCTACAGATAAGGAAACTGATGTACAGAAAAGTGATCACACAGCTGGTAAGTAGCAGAGCCTGAATCCAAGCCCAGAAAATCTGGGTCAGGGGGTGCTCAGGTGGCGCTGTTTTAAGCCTCTGACTCTTGGTTTCTGCTCTGGTCCTGAACTCATGGTTGTGAGACGGAGCCCTGCATTGGGCTCTGCGCTCAACATGGAGTCGGCTTGGGATTCTCTCTCCCTCTGCGCCTCCTGCTAGTGCTCACGCTCTCTCTCTGAAATAAATAAATCTTTTTAAAAAAAGAAAGAAAAAGAAAAGCTGGTTCAGGAATCTGGGATTGTTTGACTAGAACGCATTTTTTTCCTCCCCGTACAAAGATCTAGTTACCTTAAAACAAACAAAGAGCACATTTGATCTTCCAGTGACGCCTCTACTCTCCCTGTTGGCCTAATTTGGCATGTCAGGACTGGACTTGTGCCTTTTCAAGTACCATTCTAGATTCAAGGAAAAGCCGTGCCCTCCTTTCTTCAATTATCCATTCTTTCAGATCCAGATTAATCATCTCTTTTTGTAACTCCACCGCTTGGCCATAGCTGTCACCGATTTATAATTGTCAACTTTCCTTTGTTCATTTTACACCTTTTTTTTCTCTTTTTGGTAGAAACTGAGCACTTCCTCTTTCATTAATGTTTTTGTTTGTAACACTTTAGATCAAAACCCTCAAGAGTTACTTGCTCACCATTCCACCAGTCCATAGACTTTTAATGCCAGTCATTTAATTGTTCTGCATCCCTTCAGTGCTTATGTAATCTTTTACAAATTCTAGTTGGAATTTGGAACTGGGTTTTCATTTTCTTTTTCTTCTTGGATACTGCTCATAAAGCCAGAGTATAGACACCAATGCAGTTCAATGAAATAAATGTGTATCAAGTGTCTACTCTGTGTCAGGCTCTGTGCTTGGTGTTGGGAGTAAAGCACTGAACAGAGCAGACACAGTACCTGTCACTTAGGGGTTCAGAGTTTAATGGAGAAGACAGCAGCATACAGGTAATTAAGGACATGTTGCACTGGAGGCTAAGAAGATCTAAACGAACCAAGGGGTCAAGGAAGGCCTCCCAGAGGAAGTTACGTTTAAGCTGAGGTTGGAAGAATTAATAACCTCTGATAATGGCAATGACCACACCTTACATCTCTTTTCCCCCCTCCCACAGTGTGGTTGTTTTCCCCTTAGTAAAACATCGATCCCTACAGCTGACAATGCAAGTTTTCCACTGAATTGTTGATGGCAGTAGGATGGGAAAGATGAGGATTCTAGTCTTCTGAGAAGTGTCACTTGGTATCTTCATAAGCTTCCAATGTGCTTTTTCCACAACATCAATTTTTTTTTTTTTTAAAGATTTTATTTATTTATTTGATAGAGAGAGAGACAGCGAGAGAGGGAACACAAGCAGGGGGAGTGGGAGAGGGAGAAGCAGGCCTCCTGCTGAGCAGGGAGCCCGATGCGGGGCTCGATCCCAGGACTCCGGGATCATGACCTGAGCCGAAGGCAGACGCTTAACGACTGAGCCACCCAGGCCCCCACCACAACATCAATTTTACAAACAAAAAGATACTCATCCACTCGCCAAACCTGAATTTACCTTCGTCTCCCAGATTTGGGGTGCACTTCGTTCTCTGAATCAGGTGACAGGAGGTATTGAACTAAGTAGCCAGCCCTTCCCCAACCATTTTTCCTTAGTACTTACTTCCAGGCTTTGGGCATCATGATCACTTCCTGGATCTTAGAGCAGCTTCTAGTGCCATCTACTGGAATTGTGCCTGGAGCTCCTTAAGATGACGTAACCCAAAGTGACTCTCCCCTGATCCTAACCCAAGAGAGGGAAAGAGGGGTTAAAAAAAAGGGGGGGGGAGAATGAACAAGCTGCCTTAAAAGAGGTTTCCATCATTTAGATGTATTGACTCCAAATTACATGTTTACCTCCCCCAACCCCTCCAAAAGATGTTTTCACTGGGGTAATTTAAATTGATAAACAGTTCTGGAAAGAGATTAAGTAACAGGCCTTTAAAAAGTTTTATGTCCTCTGACTCAATAATCTCACTGCTAGGAATTCATTCTAAGGAAACAGAGATGTACACTAAAATATGTGTACCAACAAAAAACAATTGATCGATCACAACCACAATATCAAAACAGAACACAAACCACCAAAAAGCCTTGTTGACAATAGCATTCTTTTTAATAGCAAACAACTAGAAACAATATTAACATCTACCATCAGAACAACTGAGTTGTTATGGTACATCATTCGGTATATTATTATGAAGCCATTAAAAACCTCATAATCATTTAAAACAAGTAAACTGGCAATGACATAAGATTAGAGAAAAAAAATCAAGGCACAATACTCTATACAGACATACACAAACACTCTGTATAATCCAATTTTTAAAAATATTTATTCAGATATACACTTAGAAAAAGGGCTATTGGGAAAGATCCCAGAACTTTCGTCGTGAGTTATCTCTGGAAAAAATGATCACAGGCCATTTTTATTTTGGTCTTCATACTTTTACATATTTCCTACTTTATACTTCTCTGTATATTTTACAATTAGCAATAAGTATTAATGTTTAGAAAGAAAGCTATTATTTTAAGGGGGAAAATCTTTCACCTGTGTTCAGTCTAATCAACTAGTATTTTCTTTAATCTGACTATTTATCCATATGATGTAACATGGCTCAAAATTAATCATGATCCTTTTTCAACCAAAGCATCCACTTCATCCCTCACTGTGTCTAGTCCTAGAACATCTACTGATTTTACCAGTCATGCAATGTTAGATCATAAACCTCGCTGTCTTAGCACTACCTTATAAGCTACCTCTGCTTATAAGTGGCAACATGCCCTTGAAGTCCTCCCAAGCATCATGTTTCCATCTGGACCTTTATAACCAAGTGTTTGGACCATCCTAAGCCTTGACTTCATTCCTACTTCACTGGGAGGGGAAGGAGGGAAAGGGAAGAAAAGGGGACAAAATAAAGGGTAGAAAAAGCCTAAGTTTGGGTTAGAATATGGATGGACAAGGCAGAAAAGGTTAGGGCCAAAGAGAGGTAAAAGAGAACAAAAATGAAATAAAAGAGATGGGGAATTAAAGGAAAGGTCCCTTTTAAACAGAAAAGGCAGCAGTTGCCTAAACATCTACCATAAAATAATAATGATGTGCTACATTATTAGCCTACACACTCAGCTTGCTACCTCCTCCTACTCATACCCCTTCATGATCATGGGGAAAACAATAACTACAGGATTGCACCATTTTAGTGGCCCCAGGGGACACCCAAGTCTCTGGGGCTACCTTCAAAGATGATCCAAAGACCCTTGGTTGTCGAGAGGCATTTTATAATGGTCTATCAGCTAACACTGAGTGATTACTAGGTACTAGCAATGCTAAGCACATTACATGTATTCTCTCACTGATCCTCACAACAAACCTATGAGATAAGGTTATTAATGTCTTTATTTTAGAAACTTAGAAATAATCAATCCAAGAAATGATTAAACATTTCTCTGCATAGAGTCTATCCTTGGCAAAATTATGAGCAGATGAGGGCAGACAGGGAAGGAAAATACTATTTTCTTAACACCTATAATATGCGAGACACCTCACCTCATTCACTGCTAACCAAATCTTATAAGGTAAGTACAGAGTACAAAGTGATTGAAACATGAATTTGAAACATATTTTGAACCTATCCTGGACAGTCTGAACCAAAAGCCCAGGGTCTTACCTCCAGAGGATTCTGAACAATTGGGACATTTAAGGGTCCTCTAGAGGTCAGTGTGAGGATAGACCCAGCCTCCTAGAGGAAGTCACTTTGACTTCCAAGCTAGCCCAGCCTCTATGGACTGGATGATAATGGTGTTAAAGGCACCTGGGGGGACGCTGAGACTGGAGAGCTTATTCCAGTAAACTTCACCATTGGCAAATGCCCTTCATCCAAAACCAATAAACACTTCACATGCCAGGCTTTGTGTCAGGCATTAGAATTACAAAAATGAAATCCATTCTCTGCACTCAAGGAGTTGACAGTCTAACAGGAAGGCATATTCTGGAAAAGCATACTCTTGGGCATTAGCATAAAATATATAAGCATATGACACCCACTCAGTCACTACTGAGCACCACTATGTGCAAAGCACTGTGTAAACTTCACCAAGCTTGTGTTTTCACAGAGCAAACCTAACCCATTTTAATATATAGTTATTTCTAGCTCCTTGGATTATCAAATTATTAGATTTGAAGATGGAGGGTTCAGCGTAAGTTATATAGCTCAAGAGTTGGCAAGGAGAAGGTAGTCTTCCGAAAAGCTGAACATTTTCCTACTAGTTATCCTTACATTTGCCCCTCCCAAGGTCATTTGAACTTCTGCTAACCACATATTAGGCATCAGGTAAATTTCTGTTGAATGAATGACCACACTGCTTGAAAGGAATTACATAAACTTAAATACAGAATCAAGAAGCAATGACGGTTTTGTCACTACCATGATTTCAGAAAGTGAGACTGGCCAAGATGAACACACTGGATTAATGTATGAGAGGCAGAAGTCACAAACCATATTCCACTACCTCTCACCCTCAATGAGGAAGTTTGTACAGCACTAAGGAGAAGGCTCATTTGGAGATCCAACTTGGATGACCTGGAATGATGGGAGCAAACCTTCATCTCGGGTACTATGATAAGAGACTTACTGTTTGCACACTTTATGGTAGACTATATGGCAGCTAGGGAGTGAATTCCCCACCACATTTGTGAGTATAAGCATTAACATGGATTTCCTCATTCCACTGTAGGGAAAAAAATATAAGCCCCTTCTTTGAGTAAGAAAAAATGAGTAGTCGTCTTCCCTTCAGTTAAAATGAAACTATGAAACAAATCACTGAAATAAGAATGCTTTATTGGGGCACCTCGGTGGCTCAGTTGGTTAAGCAGCTGCCTTCGGCGCACGTCATGATCCCAGGGGCCTGGGATCGAGCTCCGCATCGGGCTCCCTGCTCAGCGGGGAGTCTGCTTCTCCCTCTGCCCCTCCCCCAGCTCGTGCTCCCTCTCCCTTTCTCTCTCTCTCTCTCAAATAAATAAAGGCCGAAATTCAGTTGCAAGGCAGGAGCTATTGGGGTGGTGCACCATCACCAATCATATTATGTGTGGCAAGTAAAAAAAAAAAGGGGGGGCGCCTAGGTGGCTCAGTCGTTAAGCGTCTGCCTTTGGCTCAGGTCATGATCCCAGGGTCCTGGGATCGAGCCCCGCATCAGGCTCCCTGCTCTGCGGGGAGCCTGCTTCTCCCTCTCCCACTCCCCCTGCTTGTATTCCCTCTCTCGCTGTGTCTCTCTCTGTCAAATAAAAAAAAAAAAAAAAAAGGAATGCTTTATACATTCTTTGTGCTGGCAAGAAAAATAAAGAATACAGAATATTTACTTCTTGGGGAGCTAAATAAAAAATACCTACTTGCCGATTAATGAAATTGAGGCAAAAGCATCAAATATGATTAGATTTACTATTATGTTTTCCTCGTAAGTGACACATCTCTTCTGTTTTCCTAGTTTTCAGTCTAAAGAGACAATGATTCTTGCTAAATTGTTTTACTCATGGAGCCCATCTTAGCCCATCTAAAATGTGATCATCTATGATTCTATAGACATTGAGGTTTGTGAAACAGGTTTTATGTAATCGTGGGCAGTCATAAAACAGAGTAGGTGATGCTGATAGGACATAAACTGTACCTGCTGTTAATCTCTTCAGACGGGAATTAGCTGAAATTGAACTTGCAGTTTTGTTCTTTCCGGACTTAAACTGAACCCCTTTGTTTCAAGAACAAAAAAATTCAATAAGCTGAATCAAAAGGGTTTTCAAAAGTTCTGCAAACTTGAAACACAATATATAGTCTTGTGCTTTTACAAAACCTTATTCCTCAGGGTTCCCGAGGTTGGTCATAAAGAATTCACATGTAGGAGAAGCTGGGGTTGCACTGCTTCTTCTACAAATGTGGGGAGGTCAGTTTTCAATTTATTTCAATCAATAATAACCCATTACCATGTATTTAGACCTTGTTATATTGTAAGCACTAGCTGCTAGCTGCTTTGCAAACATTTATTTAATCCTTACAGAAACCCCACGAGGCAGGCAGTCTCTCGGCTTCACAGATGAGGAAGCAGGTTTAGAGTGGTTACCTGCGACATATAATGTGATTGACGATGGTGCACCACCCAACAGCTCCTGCCTTGCAACTGAATTTCGGCCTTGATAGCAAATGCCCAAATTTAATTATCAAACATTAATCAAACTCTTAGTTGTCTGTGGTAAAAAATACTGCCGGGCGCCTGGGTGGCTCAGTCGTTAAGCGTCTGCCTTCGGCTCAGGTCATGATCCCAGGGTCCTGGGATCGAGCCCCACATCGGGCTCCCTGCTCCGAGGGAAGCCTGCTTCTCCCTCTCCCACTCCCCCTGCTTGTGTTCCTGCTCTCGCTATGTCTCTCTCTGTCAAATAAATAAATAAAATCTTTAAAAAAAAAAAAAAAAACTGCCAACACTTGTCCCCAGATATTACAGTCGAAGACAATTTGCACAATCCTACCTAACATACAAAGGTAAAAAGATGCTTAGGTGCGGGTCACATAAAAGCCAATGATACCCAATTATGTTCTCCCCTTTTTTAAAAGCAGTAAATCACCCCAAATGCTTCGTAAGTCTTTTGTTAACTTTTGGTTAAATTTTGAATCCTATAACAATACGAAACAGCTTAATTGCCTAACCAGTATCAGGCATAGTATGATCATGAAAGAAGAAATATTCCCCATGCAATTCTGTGATCTACCAGCTACAGCCCTTTGCAGCAGGTCTAATTGGTCCTTTCTGGCTCCACATTCCTAATTTGTATCTCTACATGGTCTTCATAAAATATATTTCGAATCCAAAAATGAGACAAGAAACCCTGAGCAATTCAGGAGTCTTGACCTTCCTACACATCTACTCCTTGCACTGGCAGGAAAAAATAGGGGCTAGGAGCGCAGGAAATAACTTAATACTTTACAAAGCATCATTCCCATTGGACAGACAAACAGGGAGGATCCACACACCCTGTAAGTCAGGAGGGCAAAAGAAAACTGTCAAGACTGGAACTAAGGAGTCTTGGTCTCCAATGGCAAACCATCCCTGCACATTGGCTCAGACTCAGGGGTTTAATCATAGAAAAAGAAAAAGAACCCCGCATCTGATCTGACCAGCAGTTGTGTAATGAGAAAATCGAGGGGAAAAGACTATTTTTAAATTTCATTTCATCTCAATATAAATTTACTTAAATAGCTACAAGTGGCTAGTGGCTATTGTATTAGACAATATAGTTCTAAACACTACAAAAGTTAATTTTCAGCAAATAAAAATGCATTTCAAAAAGTGAGTCTTTTCTTTCTTAGGAGCCACCAAAACAGCCAGGAAATCACATTATTTATTCAAAAAGAATCTTTCTCTGGATAAATCCCTGAGGCCAGTAATGAATTATTGCCACCCAATCAGGCAAGAGGAAACAGGGAAATTCAATGGCTAGCTCAGCTTCAAGCTCTCAGATGTCCTTATTCCCAAGATTTCTCTTTATGTTTGCCTTTGAAGCTATTCCAATCTTACCTTAATCAAAAAAACATTTCTTCTCCATCACTGGCAGCCTCTCTCACTGGGCAGATGTAATGAGCTGGGGGTTGGGGCCTTCCCATCCTCTAACCTGGGAGGTTGACTTTTTCCAAACATTATGGCAAACACACCAAAAAACTTTGTAGCAACACCTTCATTGTAATGTCCCAGTAAGAAAAGGAAAATAAATAAATAAATAAATAAATAAATAAACAGGCTTTGGGACTCAAGAAGAAGATGGATTTGGGACCGAAAAAGAAGAGATGAGGGCCATTTCCGCTGGACAGTTTTTCCAAGTCCACCCATGAGGAAAATCTTCAACTTCGGGAGACTCGAAAGACTTTTCTGTGTGAATTTTCCGATGCTGATTGAGATAGGCACTTCTGCTGAAGCATTTCTCACAGTCCGTGCATTTGAAAGGTTTTTCTCCCATATGAGTCCGCCGGTGCCTGATAAGATTAAAGCTCTGACTAAAGCACTCGCCGCAGTCAGGACACTTATAAGGTCTCTCTCCTGTGTGCGTCCTTTGGTGAATCACCAGGGTGGAACTCTGGCTGAAAGTTTTCCAACACTCCGAACACCGGTAAGGTTTTTCTCCTGTATGTGTTCTCTGATGTCTAATGAGATGGGAGCTGAGACCAAAACGCTTTCCGCATTCACAACATTTGTATGGTTTCTCCCCTGGCTGGAGTCTGCATTCTTCTATCACACTGCAGTTCTGACTCAAGCTTTCCTCATATTCGGAACTTTCATAGGGCTTTTCTCCTGTGTGGGTTTTCCGGTGCGTAATCAGGTTTGAACTTCGACTGAAACTCTTCCCACATTCTGTACACTGATAGGGTTTCTCTCCCGTATGAATTCTCTGATGCTTTATTAGGGTCGAATTACAACCAAAGCTTTTTCCACACTCAAGACATTTGTAGGGCTTCTCACCTGTGTGGGTCCGCTGGTGGCGAATCAGGCTAGAACTCTGACTAAAACTCTTTCCACAGTCAGGGCACTTATAAGGTTTTTCTCCGGTGTGAATCCTCTGATGTTCTATTAGGACATAACTGTGGCTGAAGCATTTCCCACAAACAGGACATTCATATGGTTTTTCACCGGTATGTGATCTGTGGTGCTGAATCAGGTGGGAGCTGCTACTAAAGCTCTTCCCACACTCAGGACATTTATAGGGTTTCTCTCCCGTGTGAGTCCTCTCATGGATAATGAGATGGGAGGTATTGCTGAAGCTTTTCCCACATTCACCACACTGGTAGGGCTTCTCTCCTGTGTGTGTTCTCAGATGTTGAATCAGATGAGAGCTGTTACTGAAGCATTTCCCACACTCAGAGCATTTATAAGGTTTTTCTCCTGAGTGGGTCCTCTGGTGAATACGCAAATGAGAACTGTTATTGAAGCTTTTCCAACATTCAGAACATTTGTAGGGTTTGTCTCTGAAGATCGAATTCTGCCGGACAGAGACACGGCAGTGCTCCCCTGGGTCCCAACTCCAGTGATTGGGTTTTTCATCTTTTCCTGTAGAATTTCCCTGATTCTCTGACTTGCCATCATTCTCACAGGAATCATTACACCAGATCTCATCTCCTTGGGACCATGTCAATGGAATTTCTTTTGTACCCTCATGCTTACATTTTTGGGGGCCATCTCTTTTAGACCATTTTGAGGCTCTCTCTTTCTCTGCCTTGGAATTATTGTGTTGAGCAGTTTCCAAATTATTCTTACTTTCATCTCCTGTAAGAATAAACAAATATTCTAAACATATGCCCTAATCTCTACCAGGGGAAGGAAATTCTGAATTGCAGGGGAAGGGAAATAATAAGAAAGTAAAACCTCATAATTCTTTTAAAGTGTTTAAAGCAGGTTTTAGTTTTTCTACTCTAAGTGTTCATGAGAAGCAGGTGAATTTTTTTGTGCACAGTAACAACACTAATGAGGAATTTGAACAGCTGTCAGCAATTACCAAGGGGGTTTATTGATCTAAAAACTTCATTAAACTTTATTCTAGAAGACTTAAAAGAAAAAAGGGGATCTGAGTAGGGGAGAACCTGAATAAGACACATTCTAAGGTGAAAACTTGATGATACTTTAGTTAAAATCTGAGAAAATACAGAAATAACAATGATACCTACTATTTATAAAGAACAATAGCTTGGCATATAGTATCTCATTAAACCTAAGAAATATGAGACAGATACTCATTTTTCCTAAAGATGAGAAAACTGAGGTTGTAAAAGTTAACATAGCTTGTAAGCAACAAAGCAACAGAGCAGGAATCAAATTAAAGTTTGTCCCATTCAAACGCCCTGTTCTTTCTACACAGTCTACAGCACTCCATGGCACATCTTACATTGAGTTTCCAATCAATCCAGATCTTCTTCTTGATCCCTCACCTGTAAAAGGGCTTTTCAAACTCTCCCTCTCCTTGAAGACACTAGTTATTTCTGTATTTTGCTCTTGCTCCATCAGTGGTCACAGCCAGGGTAGGGATCAGAAATCCTGTGGAAGGAAACAGGTTATGCTTGCAGGCACCAGCTAACATGTATTACTTTTCCTTCCTTCCCAACCACTGCAACATAACAACCATAACCATAGGCACAGAATGTTCTGCGCACCAGACTGAAAAAAAGAAATATGGTCTTTAGAAGTATGTTTGGAAAAAAAAAAAAACTTATCCCAGATGCAAGTGTTTTGAATTAAGGTTAACCCAATTTACTTTTTCTAAGGAAATGCCAATAAAAAAATTAAATCTTCATATTAAAGTCTGAGGATCAAGCTTCAAAAACAGAATGAATACTAATACTCATTGTCCACTCAGAGTTTAAAAACACTTTTAATTGAAAACATGAAGGTTTTTTTGGAAAAGGCAACAATAACAAGACTTCAAAAAATGGATATGCAGGTATAAGAAGCAGCTAAAGAGAAAGCACTCTGTTCAGAAAGAATATGCTGGCGCTTGACAGAAGGATGAAACATTCGAAGTTCAATCTCAAAATAAAGTTAGAATTTATATAATCAGGAAAAAAAAAGAAAGAAAAAAATAGGACGAAGCAGGGCTAGAATAATTACAGCCAATAACCTCTAAAGATAAAAAGGAAGCTAATGAGGGAACTCTTCCTTGCCTCTTACTTTCTCAATCTATCATAATCACAATATTCCTTTTAGCCTAAACTTTATCTTCTGGAGTCAACTGTGATTCTTGACCTACTTTAAGGGACTGATCTATCACTGGAAGGCAGGTATATATGGATTTGCAATCCATTTCAGGATATAAAGAACATTATTCAGGAAAAACAAGAGCCTAAAATAAGGATGTACAAAGGCACACATGGAAAACTTTGTTTTGGGGGGAGTATAAAAAATGTGTAATTTTCACCTTATCACTGCCTATTATGTGCCAGGAAGTGAGCTAAATACTTTACACATAATATTTCTCATTTAATTTTCACAATAGCCCTTGGAGATCTATAAACAGTTACCAGCATGTTATTATAGATGAACAAAAAAGACACTAAGAAACTTTCCCAAGGTCACAAAACCAGAAAGCAGTAGAGCAGAATTCAGTCCCAAGCCTGTTTGGATACTGACTTTCACACTCTTATCTATTACAGTAAACCAGAACAGGAGGCAGAGCTGGGCATAACCCCAAACTGCAAATGAATCTCAAAGAGGGCCTTTATTTTGGAAAATATTAGCTGGATTAAAAAAAAAAGATTTATATCTATAGACGGGATACCAAACGAAGCTGGTATTCCCGAAACACCCTCAGCAACTAGGGATTTGTTACAGGAAAAGGTGAAACTAGTCTAAATTACAAATAGCCCTAACGTTTGAGGCGGGGGGAACCCACACACCTAAAAGGGTAAAAAAGGAAATTGTTCATATGGAGTAATAGGTTTTGCTGAGTTATCTATTTCCATCAAAGTCTTTACAAACGAAGTAAAAGTCCGGGTAACAGAGACCCGTGCAGCACTTTCCCTGCTAAGAAACTATTAATTTTGGTAGTAGGGGGCTCTCAGGAACACTGGCTCAGCAAAACGGTAGCAAACTCAGGCCATAAATGGTATTACAAGGCTGTCCCTTAGATGTCACTCCACAGAGATGGGCTGTTTTCGCTGTCCTAGAGCAGAGGTGCTTAGGATGGGGCCGTGCTTTGGATTAGAAAGTCTTCCAAAGGAAAGGCACTGCCTGAAGCTTAGCTTTAAGAACCGCTGGCAGGGGGCAGAGGCCGGGTGCGCTGCGGGGTGAAGTTCCAGGAGGCCAGGTCGTCTCCAGCCGACAAGTCCTTTAAGGGACCCGCCAGGCGAGGGAGGCGAGGGCAGCGCGACGGCCGGGGCGGCGGGAGATCCTGGGCCCCGGCCCCTCGCAGCCGCGGGATCCCTCTCCGGGCACACTGCAACCTGGGTGGTGCAGTGGCCACTCTTCCAGCCCGTAGCCCTTGGCTCCCTTCCCCCCGAGAAGGAACTCACTGTTCCGGGGGCCACACACGAGGCGCCCAGCACCCCCGCAGACCCAGCCGTCCCGGAGCAAGGAGCCCAGCTCCTTCTGACCCCACCAACCCAAGGTCCTAAACTCTCCAGCCCGGAAGGCAGAAACAGGAAGTCACCCAAGCCCCGCTGCAGAGCCTCTCTAGGAAGCCTAGAGCCTCTCTAGGAAGCAGGGATGGCCAGGTCTCGTTGGTCTTAACCCTTAGGGTCCCGGACCAGAAGGGGCGCGCTGGTGGATTTCCTTCCCTCGCGCTGCCTGTGGTCTGTCCACTTGATCCTCACTCGTCACACTTGTCAGGCGCCTTATAAAAGGGGCCCGACTGGAGCGAATACTTTCCCTTGCCATCAGGGCATCCTCGGCTTTATCATCATCAGTACAAAAAAAATGAACCGAGCATTTACTAAGCTCCTGTTGTTTCCGTTGCCACCGCTGTGAACAGGGATGTATATTTAGCTATCTGCGAAACAATTGAGCAGCTGAGGCATCCACCCACGCACAAAACAATTCGTTAACAAGGCGCCGTTATTAATAAGACCCAGAGAAGCACTGAAACTCTGGTCTTTCATTACAGAGAAAATGGAAGGCAATCCCTTCGTCTCCCCCACATCAAGCCTACAAATCTACTTATGTCTCTCTCTTCCCTCCTGTTACAACGGAGGATTGGTCCGCATTTAAAAGGAGCCCTTTACTGGTACTCACTTTCCTTCCCACCTTCTTGGAATCCTTACACTAACAACTAACCTCTCAATTCTACCACTTCCATCCCAAAATAGTTCTTTGGATTGATTGATTGATTGATTGATTGATTGATTTACCCTCTCACAGTGTTTCCATTTTATGGCTTCCCGCTGACGTTTTAACTCGTTTCTTCTGCAGCAAAAGCAGTAAATCACTGAGATCACCATTGACCTCTGTGTTGGTGTTTTTCAGTCCTAAGGCCTCTTTCAGGAGTTTTGAGACTGCCGAGAATTCCTCTTCTAGAAACACTTTCCTTTTAACAGAGCCTTGTTAATCTTTAGTTATCTTTTGCCCTAGATTATATTATCACTAAAATAAATGAGGACTTTCAGAAAACAACATGAACATAAGACATCAGTATAATTTTTTAAAGATTTATTTTATTTATTTGAGAGAGTGAGTGCGCATGAACAAGGGGTAAAGGGGCAGAGGAAGAAGAAGAGAAGCAGACTCCCCGCTGAGTATGGAGCCCAACTTGGGGCTCATTCCCAGGAGCCTGAGATCATGACCTCAGCCAAAATCGAGTTCACAGGTCAACCAACTGAGCCACCCAAGCGCCCCAAGATATTGGTGTATCTTGTATAAGCTGATGATAGAAACACTCTTTTAGACACCACATTATCCTCATTGTCCTCTGACATCTTTAGCAGTCCTGATAGTCTCCTTTGCAAGCCCAGTCTTCTCTAAATGTTGACATTCCTTAATGCCGCCCCAGGACCTCTCTCTTATCCTGAAATGTCCTCTGTCTGGGCAACCTCATTCACTTCCACATTTTAAAATACCATCTGTGCAGACGACTCACAAATTTTATATCTCCAGCCCAGGCTACATTTCTGAGCTCTTCACTCTTATCACCAATGGTCTACTTGACGTCTCATCTTAGAGGTCTCAGTAACACCTCAAAACCAAAATGTCAAAAGTGAAAATCTGTTTCTCACTTTCTTCTCCCATATAGACATACAAACACAAAATAAACCTGTTCCTCTTCCAATATTCTCTCCCAACCATCCATTCAGTTCTGCAGAGGCCCAGAAGTCCTTTTTGTCACCTCCCTTTTCCCTCACCTCCCGTATACAATCCATAAGCCTCATCTGCTGTGTACTTCACACAGGATTCTCAAATCCAGATACTTCTCCCAACCACCTGCGCCACCGTAAATTCAGACAACTATCACCCTCACCTGAAGGATTTCAGGAGCACACTAACAATCCTACAGATGACCATCATTGCCCCTTCTCATCCAATCTCCTCACTGAGTCCAGAGTGATCTCTTCCATAGATAAATTTGAATCTGTCACCTTTCTTCACCTAGTCAAAGCCTGTTCATCCTTTAGATTTCAGCTCATACATCACTTCCTCACAAAAGCTTTCCACACCCTTCCTGACAGGGTCAAATCCCTGTTATGTGCCCTTCTAGCACCACGTTTCTCTCCACAAAAGTAGCCTAACTTATGACTGCAACTTTATTTTTATTTGCATGATTGTTATTTTATTTTGCCTTCCCAAACAAATGTCAAGCTCCATGAAGGCAGAGTTCGTCCCTGTTTTTGCTCACCACTCTATTTTAGAACCTAGCACAGTGTCTGACTCTAACAAATATTTGTTGAGAACCTCTTATGTGCCCGTTATTGTATATTCTCAGGCACTGAGGATGTAACAGTACACAAAATAGTGTGGGGGAGACCATCAATGAGCAACACAACCACGTCTATCTATCTATATATCTATATCTATTTCTGTCTCTCTCATGCTGAGGAAGGTCTACTATTTTGGTTAAGCTGGTGATGAATGTTCTCTCAGATAAAGAGATATTTCAGTGGAAATCTGAAGGAAGAGAAAGTAAGAACCATCCAGTTATCTAAGGGAAGAACAATTAAGACAGAGGAACAATAAGGGAAAAGACCTTGAGATGCTTGACATGCTCAAGAAACAGTAAGGGGCAAAATAAATGAGATGAACAATGGTAGGAAATAGGGCAGAGAAGTCAGGCCCCATAGTCCATGACTGATGGACACAGAAATGTGTCACTCAGATTCCCTTTTAAGAAAAGACTTGTTGGGGTGCCTGGGTGGCTCAGTCAGTTAAGCGTCCGACTCTTGATTTCAGCTCAGGTCATGATCTCCAGGTCATGAGATTGAGCCCAGCGTGGAGCTTGTTTAAGATTCTCTCTTTCCCTCTCCCTCTGCCTTATCTCTCGCTCCGCCCCCCCCCCCAAAATAAATAAATAGAGAAGGCTGGTTGCCCAACTTCTGGGAGTGCTATGAGCAGAGAGCTCTCAGCTGTCAGCCCCCCTCAGGGATTGCCTCAGTTGTAGAGAACAGCCTCTCCCAAAGTCACACTCTTCCTGGGCAGCCCACAACAGTGACTGATCAAGGCAGAAGCATAAATGCCTGGATCTTTGCACCCAAAGCAGACAAATCTTACGAACAATTTTAGCTCCTAAGTTCTCGGTGGGGTGGGTAGGAGAAGCTGTGGTCAGCGCCCCCCAGTCCTAGGCAAACCTCTCCTTCTGCTCAGGCCTGAGTTCTTGCCCTCCCTTCCACATCTGAGACTGGATTCAAGAATGAATAAATGAGTGAATTTGCCCATCAGATCATCTTATATTATAGTAGGCTGTGTAGATATCTAGATATAGCAGGTGAGCTGAGCACAGAATCCTGTCTCATTCTTACATCCCAAGCACATAGGACATAGTAGGAGTCAATGGATATTGGATGCTTAATAAACTCCTAGCTGCAAGTTCTGGAAGGCAATGGGGGTATATCCTATTGTGAAGCTGGAAAAATTCATCAAGTCCTTTCATTCCTTCTTCCATTTCCCTTGTTTCTTTTATTCTTTCATGCATTTATTCAACCCATATTTATGTCACCTGCTGTTGACTTCCTGAGGGGCCCCCCTGCGCAGGAGTCGGGATAGCTTTGCCCTCGCCCCTGGCTGGCTGTTTGCAGGCATCGGTGTCACTGAAAATAACAGTTGCAGCTGTCTTTATATGGGTTCTCTGGGAGTGTTTTCAGCCTCACATTACAGATTACCTTACTTGCAGTTGTTTAAACCATAAAGACTTTATTATTCACTTAAGAAATATCTAAAGTGGGCAGTACTGGGATAGATTGAGCCGCCCCAAAATTCTCCCGCGTCTCAGAGAGGGAGGGGCTTGGTACTTACTGTAAACTGAATTACGTCCCCTCAAAATTCATATGTCAAAGCCCTAACCTTCATTGTGATGGTGTTTGGCCTGTGGGAGGCAATTACGTTTAGAGGTGGTCATGAGAGTGGGGCCCTTATCATGGGGTTATTAGTACCCTTATAAGAGTAGACAACAAAGATTTTGCTCCGTCTCTCCACTTGTGAGGACACAGTCAGAAGGTGGCCGTCCACAAGCCAGGCAGAGAGCTCTCACCAGAAGCGCACCATGCTGAAGCCCTGATCTGACTTCCAGGCTCCAGACCTATTAGAAAATGTGTGTCGTTTAAGCCACCCCAGCCTGTGGCATTTTGTGATGGCATTCTGTTACTTGAGCAGACCGATACAGTACTGAGCTGACGATGTGACCATAACAGCTTGCACAAAATTGTCAGTTATCTGGTTTTATTCTTTGCAGGGATATTTGCATTTCAAAAGAGAAGGGGGTTAGAATGGTGGCATCCCTAATTGGCGGGTGGGGCAGAGCCATGTGGTGAGCAGCCCTGTGATGTCCTAATCAGCACATTCTTTGCCTCACGTATAAGATTTACGACCCTTTACAAAGAAATTTGGATTTCCCCAAGCCTCAGGTGATACCCACCTTCCCCAGAGTTCTGAGGGTTATTTTGATGACTTTGAGTGGTGGGCTTTCTGGTGCTTTCAGCAGATCTCTAGCTCCTTTTCTTCTCTTCATCATCCCCCCTTTCCAATTCTCCCTCTATTACTTGGGCGGGGGGGGGGGGGCATACAGAGAATTGCTACTGCAACAATCATTAATCCATGGAACCTTGTGACTGATTCAACACCTCCAGGGTGCAGTCCAACAGAGCAGAAACTTGGCTGAGCGAGAAAGTATGGACTGGCACAGAGCACCAAAGGTATCAGGAGTCCAAGAGCCATCCATCCCCAACGCAGAGGATTGCTTGGGTTGAAACTGATACTGAGGAGATCCTAACATCTTTTTTGAAGGTGTGTGAGTGGCTGGGTGTGGAGGTTGGGAGGGGAAAGAAATGTCCAGGATGATTGGATTCTGGTGCTACAGCAAGGCAAGGAGATCAACAGAGCGGAGCCTAGATGGTGCCTCTCTCATAATAGCATCGGAGGGCTCTTTCCTTAGTCCTAGAAAATGCTCACGATTCTAAACTGTGTCAGCAGGTGGCCCCAGAGGCAGCT